AACTTCTTTGCTCGTGCGACCCGACGAGTCTTTTGGGTGCAGCGGCTCATGACAGCCGGAGAGAGTGAGTCCATCCATGCGTGCGCATCGGGGACACTTGTTTTTCCTCGTCTCTCTCGAGTTTCTTTTCGTGGTGTTGCTGCCTTCGTTGCCCTTGTCTAACGAACACCCACCCCCCTGGCGCAGCGATCTATGAGAGGTGGAGCTTGCGGCAGAGGCTGCAACCTACAGATGACGCTCTCTTTCTTCCAGGTTCCCTTTTATTTTTTCCCGAGGTTGGATTCTGTGAGGGTGAGGGCCTGCAAGGTTGTTCGGGGGAGGGAGGGAGCCAGGCTGCCTTCTTTTTCAGCTCGACTGAGAGCATCAGCTCAGCGGGAGTATGTAGTAGTAGTTGGAAACCAAGAACTGGAACAAGCCCCAGACACAGTCTCAGATGGACTGATTTGAAAGATGAAGAGCAAGGGAAAAGATGACGCATCGCCCCAATGTTCAGCCCTCCACCCTCCCTCTTCTCCTGGGGTAGCAGCGACAGGCAATCTAAAATTGAGCGCCCGCCAGGACTGTTCACCAGGCAGCTCTTTTCTCTGGGTTGGTGATACAATACTCTGCCCGCCTCGCCGTTCGTCGTCGCCTCGCCATCCAAATCCGCAAAGGGGGGCAAGGGGAGACAGAAGATGGGAGAAGTGAGAAGGGGCGTGCAGACTCGACTTTCGCCGTGACACAATCGTCAAGCCTTTGTGTCGTCCAATGGCGGAACCCAGGCACTTGGTCGCAGCCGGAATCGAGAGAAACAAGCCCAGGCAAAACAACGTTGCCCGTTGCGTGGATTCGCTTTACGTGTACAGCATGTAAGGAGTGCCACAAGTACGGCATGGACAGGATTGGATGACAGAGCACAGAGCAAAGACCTGAGGCTACAGGCAGGTTGCACCCAAGATGTGCTGCGTACTGTCGTACTCCCCGTATATCGCTCCCGTCATCTGCCTTGCCCTGCCTTTTCTCTGGCCAGCAGGAGAAACCTGGCAAGTCGGGAATCTGGCGGCTCGCCTCGGGCGCAGGTCGTCCAGCCAGCTAGCGCGGAACGAGTCTATGCGCATGCGGGCTGTTTCTCTCCTCGATGGATGGGCGGGTGCTGTGCCCGAAACGTGGTCGTTAGCATTGAAGGCTGTCATAATCAGGACGCGACAAAGACGATGCGCAGTCCTCGCATTCACCCACGAGACTTCATCGTCCCAATCTGGTACCCAGGCAGCCAGCGTAATCCGTACTTCGTGACGAAAGCAACCAGTAGTGCGCGAAACATGGAGCAGCTCCGGCCAAACCGCTAGAAGTGCAAGAAGCTTGGGCTGCCTAGACCTAGAATAAGCTGGGTGATGGCGCCGCTGCTTGTTTTCTGCTTGCCGCCCTCGGGACTTCTGGGCCTCTGGGGTTGGAGCCCACACGCATCGCGTCCGCTGCTGATGGGCGAGGCAAGGGGCCGAGCTAGGAGATGAGGAGCCTAAGGCGCAGGAGGCTAGCGGGCCAGAGCTGGGAAGAGCCCCAGATGGCCAGATCCGCCAGCGGCTGGCTGTGGCACGTCAGTGTGTGTGTGTGTGTGTGTGTTGAGCAGCTCAGGAGGTGCCCACTTGGGGCCGACGAGAGAGGAAGAGGAGAAGAGGCTACATTAGCAGAGGCACGAGAATCCACCGCACCAGGAATAGGCACTAAACTTACTAAGGCACCCACTGCGCTAAGTGGCTGTGGAGACTGCTGGCAGAACTTCTTTTTTTCCTTCCCAATGACATGTGCAGCGGGCTGCTGGAAAAGCGGAGCCGATCCAGACGCCGCACGGCAGGGGGTGTGCGCATGGTGGAAACGCAGCGACAAGGCTGGAACCGCTCAGCGTGAGAAAAAGGGAGTTGGCGCACAGAATCCCCCAACGACGTGCGCGTAGCAGCCCTCACGGCAGCATGACGCGCTCCAGGCGGTGCGAGTGCTCACAATGCGTGTGCCTGTCGCTAGTGTCTGTCTGGCATCGCACAGCCAGCACTGCGGCTGGTGTCCGAGCCAGCTTTGGCCATCGACGCACTTCATCGTCAGCAGGCATGCGTCCCCTACAGGGACATGGACATGTGCGTGTATGGAGCGTGTACTGCAGGGCACGCGGCCCACGCACCAACGGCTCATACCATGAATCAATCTGATAGGCGCAAAAGGTATTACGTACAGTATCTGGGAAGTGGTTGTGCCTTTTCGCTCGCTGCTGTGTTTGCTTCGCTAACTCTCTCATGTCGCTTTCTCCGGGACTACTCCACCAACTGAGGGCCAACGCACAGATGCTCCCGACTACCTTACCGATACGTATTCACCAGCCCGACCGAAGGACACATTACACGTAAAAGACGTTGTAGGACGCAGCCTAAAGCAGTGGTAGCAAGCCACTGGCATCAAGCCTCGTTCTGCACGAAGTATCCTGCAGTGAGGCGTCTGCTGCTGGCACGCATCTGCCTGAAGGTACTCGTACGCAGGGCCGCACAGGCAGATGCAGGCCAGCTTGCTTCAACCTGCCGGAGCCGCTCCCAAGAAACAATGGGTTTGCATCGGCCGCCGCGGCTCCAAACGGGGCGCTGATGAGCAGAGCAACAGCAGCAACCTGCGTTAATATCCAGAATTGCTCCGCATCTTCACGTTGGTCTGGCGACAGCCGTCCAGGGCGCCCGCTTATGTAACAAAGGTTGCCTCATGCTTGCAGGGAAAAGGCCGAATGCAAGATACGGACGGGCCTTTACTCCGTACCTTGATCCTGACTCGGAGGCTCTAAGAGAAAGATGACACCACACAGCTCCTCCCGCGCCATCCTTTCAATACCACCTTATTTCCCTTACTAAGGTACTTAGGCGCTGCAGCCCCAGTCACATGACCGGCCTTGCCTTTGCTTCGGTGGCTTTTCCCCTTGATCCTGCTACTGATGGTATCCCCGACATGGAGCCAGACGCCAAGAAATCCCCGGGTTGCCAGCCCTTCTTTTTTTTCCCTCGTCTTCCGTTGACACCCTTTTCTTTTTCTTTTACCGGTTTACTGCCTTGAAGGTACTAGCACCGTTTTTGAAATGCTCTCGTCCGGCACTCCGCAGCCGCCGTCATCTCCCTCCTCAGAGAGTCGTTTTCATCACCGGTTCTGTTCCGGCCATGGGAAATGAGGTGCCACCCGGTGAGAGCAGCTGTTCTGTATGGAGACTCCGTCTGAACATTACAGTATTACGAGTGTTCAACAAAGAGAAGATGCACTCAGGACCCATTTGACCTGATTTACTCCACAGAGGGTTGCGATTCGAATGAGACTGTCTGCCTTTATTGTATCTACTCCTTCGACAACCCTGCGATAAACACAGAGTTGTGGAGTGGCTTGCCAACCAAGTTCTCTCCTTCAGTCAACCGCCGTTGGCTTCCCGCCACCGTCTGTGGGCGTCGCCTCGATAAACTCGTGTGCCACCCTGTCGATTTGAATCGCGTTTTCTCGCATGCCGAATGGGGGATCGCCTCTGTTCCTGTGCAACGGCTGGGTGCGACCTCTTGTTAATACCGCCATCGAACTGCCAAATACCTGGTGCCACAGCACCAGAACTCGGGCCAAAGGTGCTGCTGACAACGCACGCCCGCCAGCCAACAAACGCTTGTCTCCCCCCCGGACACAGACCGGGGCTGAAGTGCCATGACCACTCGTATCGAGAGCTGCCGTCGCCAATGATAACTGAAGATCCCCCCCGAGAGCTAAAAAGGAGCTTTGCTGCCGGTTGGCTTACCCGCTGGATCACCGCGCCATGCTTGTTTTTTGCCTCGATGCGGCCATGGATCCTCAGCGATTGGGACGCGGACCCTTCCGTGGCCCTGCGCCCGCGATACAGCGATGCAGCAATTCTGCTGGAATAAGAGGGCAAGCACATGCACAGCAGCATGTGGTGCTGTAAAAGCAGGAAATATTGTAAATAGGAGCACCTGTACGAAGTAGTTGTCATCGATCGTTAGATGCCAAGGTACGACGTGCTCTGTTCCTGAGGATCCTGTGGTGGTGATCGCTTGCGACCGCTGTCACTCAATCGCTCCGAACGCCACTCAAGGCTTGCAGCCTTCCATTGCACTCCAATACCCGACACTGCTTGTATGTCGACGGCAAAAAACTCGACCGGGCACTTGGCTACTGCTACCCAGAACGAAATTGCGCAACGCTCAGCTCGTGGCCAGAGGCTGCGTCGCCAAGGCCTGACCAAGACGTCTTTGTGCGCCGCAAATCGAGAGTTCGCCGCTAGGAAAGTGAAATGACCCAAGGGCTTCTCTCTCTTCTCGACTGCTTCACCTAATGCATCTTCCAGGCAATATAGGTAGTCAATCGCCTTCTGAGTAAGGTAGAATTTGGGTAGGTAGCTTCGTAATCTCACCAGAGACTGCACAGCACATCATCTGGCAGAACATTCTAAGCCGCCGCCATGGTTCGCCTCGGCCGCCGTTGCCCAAGAAATCCTTCGCCTGGGCACCGGGTCGTTTGAAACACTGCTAGTGCTCTCCCCTCGCAGCGCGGCGACCCGTCATCGCATCTCGAGAGCGTGTGAGTGGGCTGCTCTGCTGGGGAACTCGGGCGCTACAGCGAGCGGTACGTACCCAGGGCACTGACGATGGATCCACTGCCCCCAGCCGCCGCGAGCAGCTCTGGCCAGGCAGGCACGGCGCACGACAGGCAAGGTACCTGCGGTACGTACCGCAATTCGTACCGGCACACCATCTCGCACAGGACCCTGTCCACCCCCCACTTTGTGCCCTCGGCAAGGAAGACACCAAAAGCCGCCAAGCATGCAGAGGCCCCACCGGACCAGGGTGGCCCCGCCCGCTTAACAGCCACCCCGTCCGTGGCTCTAGTGCGTCCTTTCCCTCCCATTTTCATCATTCTCATGGGTAAGGTAAGTTTGTCGGATTCAGCAGCGCAGGTCCTTCCTCCACAAGACCAGCCCTCTCCCCGTCACCCGTTCTCTTTTTTTCTCCCCTCCATCACAGCCTGCAGCCAAAGAAGCCAGCAGCGTCGGGGATCGTGGACCTTGACGTGCCTCAGTGCCATCTCGACACTCCAGCTATCCTTGTGCGTAGAATTACAGCCTCGCCGGCCTTTGCTCATCGCTTGGCGTACTTTTTTTGCCCTTGCGTAGTTTCTTTCTATTCTTCATTCTTCTGCCTGTCGGCCCGAGTGTTGCCGTCACCAGCAGCCCTCTTGTCGGCCTGCGTCTCTCCGCCGTGTTTGCACTCGAGCCATTGGATTGTCGCCGCAACCATCGCCTGTCAATCGACACGACCGTCGCCGGTTGACAGCACTTTCGCGCGATCGCGTCTAGATCGACGTTGTCACTGGCCCGCGCCGCTCAGACCCTTCACCGCCCGCCTTGTCGCGACAGCCCGCTGCCAACCGCATCGCGATGGCGAACCATCACCCATCACCCACAATGATGCAGATGCAGCATCAAGCACCTCCGCCTGTGGCGCCGCCTCAGAATGTCCAGCCAAACCACTTTAACCCATCGCACCAGATTGCGGCCATGAACGAGGCCGTCTGGTTGCAGATTGGTATGCACCCAAATCCCCCCCTTTGATCGCCAGCTCACCTTGGCTCGTCTCCGATACTGACGACGCAAATAGGAAGCTTCTCTGAGCTGCTGCGAGTGCCCGAAGAAGCAATGCACGCCTACGAGCGAGCCCTCCAGGCGAATCCTAACTCGACCGCCGCGATGAGCGCGATTGGAATGCTCCTCAAGGGGCGCGAGGCGTTTGACAAGGCTCTCGAGTTCTTCCGAGCCATCGTCCAGCTCGACCAAAACAACGGTGAAGCATGGGGCAATCTCGGTAAGCCGCGATCACAGCCATTCATTTTCCCGTGATATATGCTCATGCGATGCTCTGCAGGCCACTGTTACTTGATGACCGAAAATCTACAAAAGGCGTACGATGCCTACCAACAGGCTCTCGTCAACCTAAGAGATCCCAAGGTACGTAGGCGACGCGCTGGATAGTCTGCCTCTTCTTGGGTAATCGATTAACCTTGGTGCACGCAGGATCCTATGCTGTGGTACGGGATCGGAATCCTGTATGATAGATACGGGAGCTACGATTATGCCGAGGAAGCCTTCTCCCAAGTCATGACGATCCAACCCGACTTTGAGAAGGCCAATGAAATCTACTTCCGACTGGGCATCATATACAAGCAGCAGTCCAAGTTCCAGCAAAGCTTGGAGGTAAGGCAACACTTTCATCACCCAACACCCCCCACGGCGATTGTTACTGACAGCGTTTTCAGTGCTTCAAATACATCGTCAATTCCCCGCCGGGGCCCCTTACCCAGGAAGACATCTGGTTCCAGATTGGCCACGTGCACGAACAGCAGAAAGACGTAAGCTTTCGCTTGCCTGTCTTCTCTACGTGAATGTGTCGTTTGCTGACGTTGCTTCGCAGTTCGACGGCGCCAAGTCCGCCTACCAGCGGGTGTTGGACCAATCGCCGAATCACGCCAAAGTTCTGCAGCAGTTGGGCTGGCTGTACCACCAACAAAGCCCAGCATATGATTCCCAAGAACGCGGTATCCAGTATCTCGAGAAGTCTGTCGCGGCAGGTGAGTCAACCAACATTGGATCGGTAGCGTAGTGCCAAAGTCGACACAGCTGACACGATTCGCAGACAACCAAGATGCGCAAAGCTGGTATCTTTTGGGTCGTTGCTACATGTCCCAACAGAAATATCCCAAGGCATACGAGGCCTACCAACAGGCTGTGTACCGCGATGGGAAGAATCCTACCTTCTGGTGCTCGATCGGTGTGCTCTATTACCAGATCAACCAGTACCGAGACGCACTGGACGCGTACTCACGGGCTATTCGCCTCAACCCGTACATATCCGAGGTTTGGTATGACTTGGGTACTCTGGTATGTTCAGCTCCCTTTACTCTGTCTTTGCTTCGGAGCAGCGGATCGCTAATACCGTGCGCAGTACGAATCATGCAACAACCAGATTGCCGACGCCCTAGATGCCTACCAAAGGGCAGCAGAACTGGATCCAGGCAACCCGCACATCAAGGCTCGCCTTCAGCTTCTCCGATCTGGCGGCACTAATGGTGGTCCGCCGCCTGCAGCTCCTCAGCCCGCTGATATGCACCCCTCAACGTACCAGACCGGCCCTACAGGTCCTCCTCAATGGGGCGGATCTACGCAGCAGCAATCCGCTGGCCCCCCTGCTGCCACTCAGGCGGCTGGCGAGAGCTGGGCCGGCAGGCTGTCAAACGTGAACCCGCCGCCTCAGCCCCCTAACCCCTACGAGAGCAGGGGCGAGCCTTTCCGTGGTGGTCCAGCACCGCCTCTCCGACAGCCCAGCCCTCCTCCGCAGGAGCCGCCGTCACGCCAGCCATATCCCGAGATCAACAGACCAGGCCCATCCCGTCGTGGCCCTTCGCCGCCGCCGGCTCATCAGTATGCCCAGCCTCTCCCTCCGCCGCCTCCCCAGTCCCAACCTCCGGCCCCCGCGCCGGCTGAGCGACGAGTTCTCAACCCTAACTGGGGCGGTGCGACGCCTTCGGCATCGGCACCTCCCAACAACCCGAATGCTGGCAACCCGCCTCCGAACGGCATGACCCCGTTCCGACCCGCCAGTAGCCCGCGTACCGACGGCCGTCCTCCGATCCATGACAACCGCATGCCATCCCCCAAGTCGGCCTACCCGCAGCACCCGGCTCCCCCTCCCCCTCACTATGCTCACCACCAGGAGTTGCCCCCTCAGAGCGCTCCTGAAAACAACGCGCAACCGCCTCCTCCCCCTCCACCGCCTGCGCCGATTTCTGAGCCACCTGCCCAGCGCATGGAGGATCGACCTTCGTCTGTAGGACCAAAGAGGCATCGGGAATGGGAAGAGGAGCCCGTGGCCAAGAAGCCTGCCAACGAAGAGACGCGTGCCCGGCTTGGTGATATGCAACATCGCAGACCGTCCACCCCTCCACCTGCCCGTGATGCGTATCGCCGCAACTCGTCCGAGGCTCGCCGAACGGAAGAGCAGCGTCGCCCCGAAGAGCCCAGGAGGCCTGACGAGCCGCGCCACAAGGCAGAGAGCTATCACCCATCCGAGGCTGCTCACCACACACAGAACCATAGTGTGAGCTCCAACCACCTGCCACCTATGCAGCCAGGAGCAGGCCCCATGACTGGCGTCGTCCACGAAAAGCCCAACCCTCCTGTTGTCCCAAAGGAAGAGCCTCGGGCTGAGCAGGCTTCGACAGCTCGCCCAGCACCCCCGCCTGCCTCTGAACCCGAACGTGCTGCCAGGAAAATGGACGTGGACGAGGACTATGACGACAGCGGAGAGGACGAGAAAAAGGCAGTGCTCACCAACGGCTCTGGGCCCTCCGCAGCTTCAAGCGACCTGAAAGCCCCGAACTCCTCTGCCAACGTCAATGTGGCATCTGGCCCTGCGCCTAAGTCTGAGTAGGACATCTTTGTGACACAGCAGAGGACATGTTTGTTTTACGGGCGTCTTGGGAGACGGCGGCTTTTCGTCTTGGAGTGACTTGCCCCCACGTTTTTCCTTCTGGTTTTTGTTTTCCCTTTTGCTATATATCATACTTCCATTCCCGGCCTTATTACCTAGTACTTAGCTGCTTTTTTTGTTTTTTCCTATCTTGGGGGCTGACGTGACGGACGGCAAGGGGGAACCGGATCATGGGTTTTGGCTAAAACAAACTGTCGCCAGGGAGCGTTTTCCGTATGATACTTGTAGTCGTCTCGTTCCTTTATCAAAGACTATCCTGATTTTACTCTTGTCTGCCGTTTATTTCTATGTGACTCTTTGCAGATACATTAATCTTGGCCCCTAAACATGGTCCCCCTTCCAAGTTCTTATTGTTCCTGCCGAGGTCGAATAGACTGCTTGAATTTCAGGTCACGTGATCAAGTTGTGGTCAGGTTTGCGCTCAGGCGTTGGCTGCTTTTGATTGGCCGGAAGAGCCCCTTGTCCTAACTAGGCTAGCTTGTGGGCGCACGGGCCGCACAATCTGGGAACCTCAGGTCTCGCTTAAAATTTCGCACACAAACTATTTCCTGAAAGCCCTTTTCACTTTTCTGCTTCGTGCAGGCTTCGTCAATTTTTCATACCAACCTCATCACCACCACAACAGCCCAAAATGAGTGTATGTTGAACATTCCGAGCAAGACGACGACAGTCAATCCCCCGCTTCACGATGCTGACAATTAGAATAGCACCGCAAGTACGAGGCTCCCCGTCACGGCTCCCTGGCTTACCTGCCTCGGAAGCGCGCTGCCCGCCACCGCGGAAAGGTCAAGTCGTAAGTTGAAGAAAAAAATCTGGAGATGGATTCACCCTTGGAGGAGCATATGGGAAGAATGCAGTGCTAATCAATTGGTATCACGACAGCTTCCCCAAGGATGACCCCAAGAAGCCTGTCCACCTGACCGCCGCCATGGGCTACAAGGCTGGTATGACCACGATCGTTCGTGACCTCGACCGACCCGGCGCGAAGGCACACAAGAAGGAAGTTGTGGAGGCTGTTTCGATCATTGATACCCCCCCTGTACGAACAATGCAGCCCGCTTGGCTATGTGCCTATGGCTAACATCTAATTTAGATGATCGTTGTTGGTCTTGTGGGCTACATCGAGACTCCCCGCGGCCTGCGCTCCCTCACCACCGTCTGGGCCGAGCACTTGAGCGACGAGGTCAAGCGACGATTCTACAAGAACTGGTACAAGAGCAAGAAGAAGGCCTTTACCAAGTACGCCAAGAAGCACTCGGACAACAGCGGCGCCTCCATCAACCGCGAGCTCGAGCGCATCAAGAAGTACTGCACCGTCGTCCGCATCCTTGCCCACACCCAGATCCGCAAGACCCCTCTCAAGCAGAAGAAGGCCCACCTCATGGAGATCCAGGTCAACGGCGGCTCCGTCGCCGAGAAGGTCGACTTCGCCAAGGACCTCTTCGAGAAGCCCGTCTCCATCGACACCATCTTCGAGCAGGATGAGGTCATTGACGTTATCGCCGTCACCAAGGGTCACGGATTCAGCGGTGTCACCGCCCGCTGGGGTACCAAGAAGCTCCCCCGTAAGACTCACAAGGGTCTCCGAAAGGTCGCTTGTATCGGTGCCTGGCATCCTTCCCACGTCCAGTGGACTGTTGCCCGTGCCGGTCAGGAGGGTTACCACCACCGTACCTCTGTCAACCACAAGGTTTACAGAATCGGCAAGGGTGATGCTGAGGACAGCGCCTCCACTGACGTCGATGTCACCAAGAAGAAGATCACTCCGTATGTTTACGCCCGCCCCCTCTCACTCACTCATGGCACAGATTTGCTAATTTTTTCGCAGTCTCGGTGGCTTCGTCCGCTATGGTGAGGTGAACAACGACTTCGTCATGGTCAAGGGCTCCATCCCTGGTACCAAGAAGCGTGTCGTGACCCTCCGCAAGTCCATGTGGACTCACACCTCAAGAAAGGCCCTGGAGAAGATCAACCTCAAGTGGATCGACACCTCGTCCGAGTTCGGCCACGGTGCTTTCCAGACCCCTGCGGAGAAGAAGCAGTACCAGGGTACCCTCAAGAAGGATCTGGCCTCCGCCTAAGCGTGCGCGTCGCCTCTCTTTTCCTTTTTGCGCGTCAGGTCATTGCATTGGTGTCGGATATTGGTTTGCCTTGCTTATTTTGGGCTGGGTTTTGGGGCTCTCATAATGGGATGAGCATGAAGAAGAAAAAAAGAAGAACGAATTTCAGCTAGAAATCTGAAATACCACAAAATGAGATTTCCTGTTATGATGATGGGGAATCCCACGCATGTGCAAGCCCAAGTAGCGACGCCAATAGACAAGCTGACCAGTTATATGACTTATGACTTGCCGTGATTCTGCTGTGGGAGAGCTAGGTATGAGGCTATATAGAAACGATGATTACACAATGATCAGGCCACCTCTTCTTCGAACCCATCATTCAGGTTTAACCTAGGGAAAGTAGACAATGACAAAGATGACATAAAGAGAAACATCGCAAAACTACTGTCTCCAGTGTTGGAAGTTGGCCGCGCTGTAGCTCTTTCTTGGATTTCCTGATGCTGCAGGGTAATCGGGTAAGTCTTGCTCAACGGCAAAGTAATCACTGATCCGAGGTCTGCCTATCATCTCAGCTACCATTCGGACGTTCTTATGATTGGCAACATTCTGAGTCGTCCGTCAACACTCCCTTGATCTCGTACCAAATCACATCACGACCACATGTCTACGAACAGACCTCTACGATGGCTGGATCCTCAAGCGAGCAGACAAACCAAACTCACACTCTCAACCCGCTGACCAGTTTCCCACCGTCAACCGTCTAGACCTCACCGAGGTAGCGAGCTAATCCAATGGGTCGGCGAGAAGCAGTGGCTGTACGGGAAATCGTTCACCTCGCCACAAGCTCCGTCCAACAGCGGCAAGATCACTGATACAATGAACGGTCTTTTAACGACACAGGGATATGATGATCTTTCTGAAACGGCGATCTCTGGTGTATGAATGTCCCCAACTTCGGATGCCACTCTGAATGGGACTGTTGAGTCTGTATGATGATCATTGACGGATATTGAATCATTCATCAACGACAGCGGTGATATACAGAGCTCCAGCGCCGTTGACTTGTAACTCATGGGCGACCATTCTACGTCGAATCGTTTGTCACTCAATCTTCGCGTGACTTACCACAGCTCGTCTACATGAGACGTCTCTTGAGGCAATGATTCAACGGTTGGTTGATACACTCCTCGAGAGTTTGAATGGCGGATCAAGAATGATACCCTCCGCCCTGAGCTGGCTTATTTCTGTCGCCGAGAGAAACCCTGCGGCCATCCTTGTTGGGTGTGCAAGAACGGCAGGAGAATACCACGCTGATGACCTGCATTGTGTCTTTGTAAAGGAGTGACTCCAGCAGAAGCGAGGCCAGCGTCGTGGCTCACGGAGTTGTCCAGGACGGAGAAGCGCTGGCCTGTTGTGTCAATTCACCGCACCCGTTGGGGGAATCTCGGCTTGTATTATGCAGAAGTCTTCGTCTCCAAGAAGGATATCAAAGGTCAATAGACTCTTTCAGCGCTGAATCTTTTGAGCAAGAGTGGCGTGGCCAAGGATACAGAGGCGTTGGTGAAGATGAAGCCAAAATGGAAGCTGTTAAAAGAGAACGGAAGCCCCACAGCAGCTGCTGCTCCCCACGTAACTAGCGAAGCGAGGCTAGTAGCTGATGCAATGCTGAAGAATGCGGAGAAGAAGCAAGCCATTGGCCGAGATATGGATATTGGGGTTCCTTGACTGTATGTACGAGTACTTTGCCCAGATCGAGAACCGGGAATGGCGCAGGTTCAAAGAGACAGAATCCGTGCCAGTAGTAGCAGATGCCATCACATTGACAGCTCATTTTTCATCCGCAGTGTGAACCAACTTGGAAACCTTATCTACCTTATGTGTGCTAGGTAGGTACTTCGTGATAATGGGCGGAACACGCGGCACTGTCTTGTCTTGTCTTGTCTTGTCTTGTCGCAGGAGGGGCTGGTATAAAGTAGGGTCTGGCTCCGCGGCACCTCACATCCGTATCGGCGGCACCTCAAAAGGTACATTTTTATATAAGAGGTACAAGATAAGGCACACTTCCTACAGTATTTTAGGTATTCGCACTTACTGTATAAGCAGGTCTCTACCTGACTTTACCACTGCAAGATCGCTACTCTCTATAGTGGCTAGAACACCACACAGCTATAAGTTCGCAACTCTGCTATAGTACATATAGCTAACATACTACACCTACCTAGTAGCTGTAAGCCCCTGTTATTACAGCACTGACACAGCTGCTATAAGGGGTTGCAATCCTATAGCATGCATGCGGCATCCCAGCTACTATAGAAGAGCTGCTTTTTGCAGCAGTGTGGTGTTCTAGCCACTATAGTAGAGCTGCTCTTGCAGCAGTATGGTGTTCCAGCCACTACAGTAGAGTTGCGATCTTACAGCTATGCGATATCACTGCTGTGTAAAGGGAAGTCTTATAGGTGTAGTATGTGTAGGAGCTTTTACGCTGTAAAGAGTACTTCGCCGCACAGTCAATACAGTGTATTGAGGTGCTGCGGAACCGGATGTGAGGTGCCGCGGAGCCAAGCCCATAAAGTACATGTGCCTGGATTCAAGTTGGGACTTCGGCTAATTTTGAGTTTCTGCCCCTGTATCGTGCCGCTAATCAACAATCAACAACTGGATACGTACGTCTTGAGTGAGAGGGACTGCTGCAGTTGAGAAGACGAACCCATACATGAGGTTCATGGAAGCAGTATGCACAACTAAGAGAGAAGCAGGAAATGGAAAAGAGCACTTGGCAACCTACTGTAGTAGATAATGCTTGTGCCCGACCAATCATGGCGGATGATGATCATAGTGTCCCAGCTAGGGGGCTGCAAAAAGGATCAATTTCAGGATCCTTGAGGGGCATCAAACAAGGCACAGGCACAGGCACAGGCACAGGTACTGGTACTGGTACGGGCGATGCAGGTTACCTCCAATTAGTAGCGCAGCAACGCGTCGCCTCACAGCCCAGCCTGACGCTCGCCGTAGCACGACATGCCGCCTCATCCATATTATAGCGCCTTACCTCGCCCAAGCAGCGTCCAAGCCAGCACATCACCCAACCATCGCCTCACCTCACCTTCTTGTCCTACGGCCAGCCATGAGGGGTTTGCCCTGTGGCATCAGGTCGTCTTGTTAGCACCTTGTCCGCTTCACCTCTGTTCATCTCATTTCAGCCTTTCGGCCTCAGCTTCAGCTTCGGTCCAGCGATTCATCGTCACTTGAACGGCTCAGCGGCATCACAGCTACCAACCAACCACTACCTATCCGGCCTACCTTACTGTCTCCAACACTGCCGTCACCGCAGAAACAATGAGAGAGAGAGAGCCTGAGTCTGAGAGCGACTTCTCCTCGTCTGGCAGCGAGTCGCCGCCGCCGCCGCCTCCGCCCAAACCAGAGCCGCACGCTCGCGTCTCTACTTCAGCACCGCATCATGCGCCTCATGAGCATGCGCCGCCTCCCACCAGACGCCAAAGCATCGCAAACCGTCTGTTGGGATCCTTTAACCAGGTCCGCAAAGAGACTAGGGAGAGAGCCAAGAATGAGCCGCCGCCGCCTGCGCCTGCTCCCGCCAAGCGGCGCTCGTCCGTCGCCGAGAAGTCGTCGCCCATGGCGCGCATCCGCTCATGGCTCGACACGTGCAACGGCCAGCATAATCATCACTGCAGCGGCGATGATCCGGATGCCGACACTTGGCGGCCCGTCTATCTCGTCGACTCGGTTGAGCGGTGCTTGGTCAAGGCCAAGCCGACGGATCGCTATCTTGCCCTGAGCTATGTATGGGCGCCCCTGAGCCAGCGTCGCGGCGGTCCTACCGCGGTAGTGCAGCTCCTCAAGTCCAATATCGAGGCCTTCCAGTCGGACCTCCCAGAGGTGGATCTTCCCGAGACCATTCTCGACGCCATGTACCTGGCAAGGAAACTGGGATTCCGCTATCTGTGGGTTGATCAGCTCTGCATTGTGCAAGATGACGAGGTGGACAAGGAGAACCACGTCCGACACATGCCGTACATCTTTGCAAATGCCTATCTCACCATCGCCGCAGCATATGGCGACCTTTACACTGGCCTTCTCCCCATCAGTCCGCGGCGACATCAGCGCGACTCCAAGAACGGCAACGGCAGCGGCAGCACCAAGGACCACGGCGAACTGCTTCGGCAGTCCAAGTGGAACAGCCGTGGCTGGACCCTGCAGGAGCACCTCTACTCGCGCCGCACTGTCTTCTTCTTCCAGGATACCGTGACGTGGGAATGCCATTGCAACCTCTGGCAGAAGAGTTCGATGAACATCATGCCCAAGCTGCGCGCCAGCACTCGACACGACTGTGTCAACCGTCTTTCTTCTGCCATCCTCGGCTACCAGCACCCTCCATGGCCCGACCTGGACGAGTATGCCCGCATTGCGGCCGATTATAGCGCAAGGAGGGTGACCTATGTTGAGGACACCTTGAGAGCTTTCGCCGGTATTACGTCTATGCTCTCGCGTACATTTTCGGATGGCTTCATGTACGGCATGCCGCTCATGTTTCTCGACATTGCTCTTCTCTGGCGTCCTCAAGCGTCGATACGACGGAGGGCGCCACCGCGAGCCCCTTTCTTCCCATCATGGTCTTGGATGGGGTGGTGGTTTGATGGCGTGCCTGTCGACTTGGTCCTGTGGAAGGCCGCGGCGGATTTTGTGGAAGAGACGAGTCCGACGAAAGTAGGATCCAACTCCAAACGGTTTCAGAGCCTGCAAAGCTTCAGAATCAAGCCCACCGTCACTTGGAATCTTACGGACAGAGCTACCACAGTTCCCGTGGCCAACAATGGGCTGCGGTATCGAGATCTCCGGTCGCGCAAGAATGCCGGGACACCGCTGCCCCATGGCTGGTCGAGAAGCGGATCGTCATTTAAACACGACAGCGACCGGACGACCATCTTCAAGTATCCGGTGCCTGTCACGGACCCTCCCAAAGACGGACCACATGCGCCGACACCGGCCGAGCAAACGTTCCCGGGACCGCTCTTGTCCTTCAGAACGGCTTCTGGTTTCTTTGACGTCGATCTCGCCGATACCATGGCGCCCAAAGACGGTTCCAACCCTCAGATTGCGATTGGCAACATTTGGGGCAGGTCTGGGAAATGGATTGGTGAGTTCAGAGCTCACGATGCCTGGTTGGGCGTGCAGACGTCCAACTACGACGGAGGCGAAAAGCTCGAGTTCATCGCCATCAGCATGGGGATGGAGCGCAAGGGCTCCTTCATATTCCCGCCGGAGCGATTCGAAGAGAACAAGGATGCGGACGGCATATTGCACTTGGTCAATGTGCTGTGGATTGAGAGGATCGGCACGGTTTGCTACCGAAGGGGCATTGGGCATATCTTGCTCAAAGCTTGGAATGCACAAGTGAGGGATCAAGTGGACATTCTTCTCGGATAGGGGTTCCTCGAGAGGCATCCGGTATGTCTGGCGAGGTATGTGAGGTGTGGCGTTTTGGGAGTCTATTCTTGAGCCTGGTACGTCAGGCAGCAGTGGTAATTTGTCTTTTCAATTCTTGTTTCATATTTGTACATATCCTGGTACGATTCTGCTCGTTGTACTCACCTTTACGATACGCGCGGCTGGGAAACAGGACGAGGTTGGAGAGGCACATAGCTGGCCATGTACCTAGCGGTAGTTAGCAGGCATCTGTGTTGAATTCCTTCAATTGGTTATCATGGCTCCTGCATGCAGGCTGCATAAGGCACCAGTAAGTCAAGACTAGGTCGTGAGCTGGCGAACTGAGGTATAGTACTACTAAGTAGCCATCTTGCATACGACAGGACCGAGCTGCAAGACATTGAAGCTTGCGCGCACCAAGTGTCCATCACGTGGACATTTCCGCGATGATGCTCGAAGCTCTCTGGCGTTGTGAAAAGAGAAACAGACAAAGTTCATGATACCATGGTGATCTACATCTCACACTCTTCCTTGGTGGTATCGAGCTGCTCCTCCATCGTGTAACATCCGGCTTACGAATATTGACGCCCCCGAGTCGACTGCGGGTGTGACAGAGGGAGTCCCAAGCCCTGTCCCACAGGTGGCGTAAATGTGTCAGACAATGCGCTGTCAGTTCTCGATTCTAGGTGAACGGTATCTCTAAAACGAGCGGAGAATCAGAAGAGCTACTCACAGGCATCATCAAGTACTACAACGAACTTGGCCATCTCAAGGCAAGGGTATCAGAAGATGGGACGAAGCCCTCGCTTTTACTTATAGCAGAGCAGTACCTGCCAGTAACCTCACCGGCCACCAAACGCAGGCTGTGTCGGGGGTAAATCACCGGTATCCACTTCTCCTCAGGCCTCGGGGACACTAAACCGCCCTGTATCAAACGCTCGCGCCTGACCACATAAGGTAGGTACCTAGTAGTGACCAGATCCGTCCTGCAGCGGCCGCGCAGCTCACAAGTACCCCCGGGCTGTATCCAGACGTCACTCAACTGCCGCTGCCTCGAGATCCTCCTTTCGCCAACGTCACGAGTTCCAAATACATTCGGCTCACGCGACCGAACCCGCCAAATGCCCGGATAGATGGGCGTGAGGGATACACTCGAATCCCTTTTCCTCTAGGTACCTTAGAGAAGGCCTGACAGAAGGGAGGGAAACAGACAGACGCCAGACCTTGGACAACTCGCGATAACGACATCACCGGTGCTCAATCGACCCAAGCTTCTACTTATTCGGGTTCATCGGGACGCGAGACAAGCATGGCTTCGAGGCCGGAGTACCAGTCATTGGAGGACGTGGAGGATCACACAGGAGCTACACACGAGGACTCTGCTCTCCTCGGCGGCGAAGACGAAGACAGCGAACAAGTGCCCTTCTCATGGATTGAATATGGCATCTTCTGCTTCCTCGGCATGGCCATGCTCTGGGCCTGGTAAGAAGACACCCCCCCTTCTCAATCCCCTCGCCTTTGCGCGCATGAATACTACCTAGCAGAAACCAACATCGCTAACTGCGCATTCGCGATGGGGCAGGAACATGTTCCTCGCCGCAGCCCCCTACTTCGCCGCGCGCTTCGCCGGCGACTCGTGGATCGAGGCCAACTTCCAGTCCACCATCCTCACCGTCTCGACCCTCACGAACCTCGTCTCCGCGCTCATCCTCTCCCACATCCAGCACTCCGCCTCGTACCCCTTCCGCATCAACCTCGCCCTCGTCATCAACACCGTCATCTTCAGCCTGCTCACGGCGTCCACGGCCGTCCTCCTCGACGCCTCGCCGCGGCAGTACCTGGCCTTCGTGCTCGCCATGGTGGCGTGCACGTCCTGGGCCGCCGGGCTGATGCAGAACGGCGCCTTCGCCTTCGCCGCGGGCTTCGGCCGCGCCGAGTACATGCAGGCCCTCATGGTCGGCCAGGGCATCGCGGGCGTCCTGCCGTCCATCGCGCAGGTCGTCTCCGTGCTGCTCTTCCCGCCGGGCAAGGAGAAGGCAGCTGGCGGCGGCGGCCAGGGCGAGGAGGAGGAGGAGGCGGTGGGCGAATCCTCCGCCTTCTACTACTTCCTCGCCGCAGTCATCTCCCTCGTCACCCTCGTGGCCATCATCCCCCTCGTCCGGCGCCACAACCGCCTCGTGGCGAACCGCACCATCCCCGAGCACCTCGCCTCCTCCATGGCCAGCATCGAAGAGGCCGAGAGAACTACCACCCGCAAGGTCGTCCCCCTACTGCACCTCCTCAAGAAGCTCCGCTGGCTCGCGTTCGGCGTCGCCCTCGTCTTCGCCGTCACCATGTTCTTCCCCGTCTTCACCGTCAAGATCCTCTCCGTGCACCAGGACGGCGGCCTGCTCTTCCAGCCCGCCGTCTTCATCCCCCTCGGCTTCCTCTTCTGGAACATTGGCGATCTCGCCGGCCGCGTCGCCACCATGCTGCCCTTTTCGCTTACGCACAGGCCGCGCCTGCTCTTTGCGCTGGCGGTGGGCAGGATCGCGCTGCTTCCGCTCTATCTCCTCTGCAACATCAACGGTCGGGGCGCCATCGTCCCGAGCGACTTCTTCTACCTGTTCGTCGTCCAGTTGGTCTTTGGCGTGACGAACGGATGGGTGGGATCGAGCTTCATGATTGCTTCGGGGGAGTGGGTGGAAGAGCACGAGCGGGAGGCCACGGGCGGGTTCATGGGCTTGTGCCTGGTTGCCGGCCTTGCGTCGGGCAGCTTGTTGAGTTTTACGATATCTGGGATTTAGGGCTTGTCGGGATGTATGCATTGGGCATTTTGCAAGGCGTTTTATTCTCATCTGGAGCGTGTGTCATATTGCATATCTTCAAATTTCCAAGGCATTCATCAGAAGTAATCACCCATTCAGAAGTAATCAACCGTGAGCCATCTAATCTATCTCAATGATGGATCAAAGAAACAGCACTCTGCGAGAAAGAGGTATCAAATAAGAAGAAGATACAAAAGCAAGAAACGAATATTTATGTACTGATGAATGATGAATGATGAATGATAGCAACCTGTAAAAGCCCCCCCGATTCGATTCCCCCCAAAGTACCGCCGTTCTGTGATCCATGCGGCCAGACACCCGTCCTAGCGAATTTCCATAAGAGCCCATCCGATCCGATGCGTTTCCCATCTCACAATGCCATGCATCCCCGTCCCTTAGGTATCTAGCCTTTTGACGCCCCTCCTTTTATTGTGTGTGAACGCAAGTTGCAATGCCAGATTCTGTGCAGGTTTTGAAAAAAGAAACAAAAAAGGGACGAAATGGGTCAAAGGGGGTAAAAAAGGAGAAGAAGGAAAAAGAAGAGCCAGCCATTCGCCCACCGAATGAGGAAGAAACCAGCACGATGATGCCAAAAAAACGAGCATGTTCCGTCAGGGGCTGCACCTCAGAGGGTTGTTGTAGATGGAATTCGACAGTGCGCCCACCGTGTCTCTTTTGAAAGGCTCCAGGCCCTTATGTAGTGCCGCAAGATCCGTCGTATGCCTGTACACCGTTTTCCCCACCCCCGAAGATGAAGGAGAGTCGTTGCTGTTCGGACCGCTGGAGCGTCTGCTGTTGTGTTTCGAGGGAGCATCTTCCATCAACAGGACGACCGGGTCTCCCGTGCGAGGTTTCCCGGACCACTCCAGCGAACACATCGATGGAGGATGGTAATAGGTATCGCCGCAGACAACCCAGTCGGCGGTATAGAAGCCGCCCTCGATGAGGTCCTGCTCCGTGCCGCGCCAGTGGCTAAATTTCTTTTCGGGATCCTTGTAGTCGAAATCGCCAAAGCGAAGCTTGATGTCTTCGTCATCATTTGCAGGGACCAGTGCAAAGCACGTGCAGTCGCGCAGCGTCATGGCGACGACAAAGTCCAGGTTCGTAGGGGGTCGCAGGGGCCCTACATGATCGAGGCTCTTTTGGCAATCCCTTAGCTTTCGGAGTGCCTTGTGGTTGATGATTTTGTCGAGAATGGTTTGGATGCGCTTGTCGTCGTGCAGGCCGGCAAGCTGCGGCGCTATTCGAAACGGCGACGAGACTTGCCGAGGACAGTCGGGGTTTGCAATCGCAATCGGACATGGTCTTCTCTCAGGGCGCGGCGCCTTTGCGCTGGGGCATTTCAGATAGTTGCGAAGCTCTAGGGCACACTGCCTACAGCGGATGGCCGACTTCGGGGCGCTGGGTGACTGCAGCAGCCATTTGGGCTTGAACTCGATAAGGATGGAGCCGTCGTCGCCTTTGAGAGACTTGTTGTTAGCACGTAGTTGGCAGAGGGGTGAGATCAAGGCGGGCAGTAAAGGGGCAGCGTAAGCAGACAACCAGCTGCTACAAAGAATACACCACTCACCCTTTGGCCGCATGTCCTCCACCAGAAAGCCCCAAGAGGCGTGGCCAATGAAAGAAGCCTGGAACTTGGGCTTGCGCAGGTGGTTAATGTCCCGAAGCATGGCGTTGAGCTCATCCACAATGCCCGACTTGTGCAGCACGACCAGCTCCTGGCACACCGCATGGTCGCCGAGATGTGGCTGGATCTCGCGGATGAAGAACTCCTGTTGGCGGAAGTAGTAGTCGGAGGAGGTCGGAGTGCGGCCCAGAGACGGTGCCTTGGCCACCCTCAGGAGTTTGCCTATGAGTCAAATAAAAAGGGCACGAGTTAGCATTGAGCAGTTGCGCGCACCGGGCTTTGTGTAACCACAACCCAAGGGGACGAGCGAATGGGCGAGCGCTTTGAGGCTCTGGCAGGTTGCCAGGCTGTGGGGTGCATTCCGCCCGTTCCATCGCCATCGAGCGTCATTGGTCGTACGATGCCCGTCTTCGCTGAGAGGGGGAAAATGCACAAAGGACAATAGCCAACGTACCTTGGAACTGCGCGCCGACGCGGCTGCTGGGGGGCACCTTGATCTCGAAGACGGCGTTTGCGGCGCCCTCACCGACCAGCCTGACGGGCTTTGTGCCTCGCGGCAGGATGCTGACCAGCGGGTGGTAGGCGCCGTCGATGCTGGCGTCGATGCCGCTGCCGTCGGAGCTGGTTCTGCCGCTGTCGCTCTTCATGTCCAGCGCCGGGATCTGCATCGTTTGTAGATGTCGATGTCGATGTCGTCGAGGTCGAGTCCGAGCCCGGGTCCGAGCTTGGTCGTGGCGCGGTTGGCCGTCGCCGTCACCGTCGCTTTCGCCTTCGCAGGCCTTTTCACAGGCCCTGTCGCAGGGCTTGCCGTTGCCGCAGTTGTCGTCGTCGCAGTCGCAGGCACAGTCGCATCTGAGGTTGCGGGAGCGGTCGTAGCTCATGGCCCGCAGCCGGGCCATGTCGGCCGAACTGACTGCGCCGGGGACAGCCTCATCGTCAGAGTCCTCGGCCAGCGAGTCGGCGTTGGAGGGCGAGTCTCTGCCGGCATCAGACAGGAAGTCGTCGTCGAAGCAGTCGCCGCCGGCAACGGAGGACCCGTGATTGGAAGCCGAGTCGTCGACCAGCTGGGGGGGCAGCTGCAAGAAGGCCTGCGCCTCCATGATTGGGGACGGGCACAGGTCGCGCGGGCCCCAGTCCTGCAGGCCCTGCTGCAGACCTCCGCAAGGGGCTGCAAGGCACTGAGTCGGGGGGGTGTGATAGCGCTGGGAGCGGCAGAGTCTCAGGGAGCACAGAGGCCAGCCCGGCGGTCGAGAGGCATGGATCGAGCGTGGGTGCAGATGCAATACTGTGCTGTGCTGCCGTCGAAGGGACAAGAGACGCCGCGTGTGACAGGCAAAGGCGATGTCGCTGCAGGTTGCTCGATGCGCAGGTCGCCCGTCTAAGTAGGAATGTATCCCAAGGTTAGGTCTCTTCTGCCGTGTAACGTATTATGTGCTCCCATCAGTGCTTTTTCTTTTTCTTCCGTGTCCTTTCTTTTTGTCTGCTGATTTTGCCTCCCCCTCGTTCTTCTTCGCTTGTCCGCGGCTCGATGCCGAATGAAACGACCCAAGAGTGGAGAGTAGGAGCAGCGTGGCGTGGCGGCGATTATTATCCTTGCGTGGAAATTAGGATCCCGTATCTCACTGAGACGGAGGAGGGCGAGCGGCGGCGAGAGGTGCCTTGCAGGAAGATGTTGTCCGGGGCGAGGTTGAGAGAAAGGGGGAGAGGGAGGAAGTGTGGCTTGTCGATGGTCGATAGCTTTAAGCTCTAGGACGACGGATCGAGGACCGGAGGCAAGGCCGCCCGCTATGGCCAGCTTATGAGTATTATGGCTGCCATTGATTGACTGGCGGTTTAATTACACCGCTAATAATAATAAGGGACCTACGCACCTTTGGTACAGGCATAGGCACAGGCACAGGCACGGGTATGAGCACGAGCAACGCAGCGCTGGTGAGGGACGGCAAAGCAGATCGATGCGAGTAGATATACATGTGCCGGGCTCGGGCTGGTCGCACGCAGACCGCGGCCGTGAGGCATGGGAGGCCGGTATGTGAGTGGCCAGGCAGGCGGCATGCTGTCGAGTGGCTCAGCCCAGCCTGTGATCTGAGCTGCGAATCTGACAGCTGGAACCTGATCGGAAGCCTGTCGGAAGCCTGCTGGAAGCCACCACCGGTTCGCGTTCGTGCCTGGTGCTAGCTTCGGTGTCTATCAACCACAGCCGGGGCATCGTCATGATGTACGCAGTACGTTGCAGCAGAGCGCTTCAGGCCATACCCTTACTATTGATGCCCACCCCCTTTCGCGGTGGCGTTCAAAAGGCTCGCTTCAGGACCCCTCGCCGCAACGAGGGCGGCATCCAATATTGGGGGACTTTGTGCCGACTTGGCAGAGCAAACTGAAAAGTCGCATCTCGTTGACGTGCATGCCTCCCCCCCTTCCTCCCTTGACTCCGCAGCCCGCGCTGGGCTATTTCAGGGCAACGGCAGAACCGACAACACGGTGGTGGTTGTTGCTAAGACGGCCAAATCTCTGCTCGCTACCAATCACAGCGGCGAGACACGGCGGCTTACAGCCTCCAGCAGCTGGGGGGCAGGGCTGAACCATTGCTGACGGCGTTGCTGGGTTCTTTGGGGAGGTTGCACCGCTTGCGTGCTTGTATGTACGAGCCCGTCCGGAGCATTTCATAGGCGGGCGACAGGTGAGGCTGATCTGGCTCCTTGGGGCTGGCGAGAACGCCCATGCGCCCTCTCTCGCGCCCTGCTTAAGCTTCTGACTGTCGTGTTCCGCCTCCCCTTTGATTTTGGGATCGCAAATGTCACCACCACATTTGATGTCACGATGCCGGAGATGGGTGGGCCGATGCTACTCACGCATGGGCTCCTCAGGTACTGGCTACTAGGTAGCTGGTCTCCGTCGAGGTACATGACTTGCACCCCGTTCTGTGCTCGCAAAGTGCCAGTCGTCTAGCAGTTGCACCGAGATCAAGTGTGCGCCTGACCGTGTACATGTATGCATGTATGACCTGAATGCGACACATCACAGGGCACCAGCTATCGTCTCTTTTCTGCATCTATCAAGGTGGGGGTGCTTTCTTCCTCCTGTCACAGGAATCCAATAGATTCGAGCGTCTCTGGAGACCTGAGCAAACGCTACGAACTCGGCGGATGCTGCTCAGTGCGTGTACTGCCAAGGTACTGCCAGGATACCTTGATATGACTGCACTGCGGTTAGAGGAGGGCACCCCTTTGCCCCGGATTTGCAGACGGGACCCTGTGATGTCATTTGGAGAGCCAGCCGCATGCACTTGGATACATGTAACAGATTGACGTCGAGATGCAGGACGCGGTCTCCATAGCAAAGGGAGTCCGTCAGCAGCAAGCTTGGGCTGCTGTGCGACTTCGGACGGGGGCCGAGTGCTTTTGTCTTGTGCAAGTTACGAGTACGCTTGGCCGTTGTCGCGATGCAGCGGATTTGATATCACGAGCGGGACCGCAAATTGCTCAATGTTGATTTACGAGCAATTGCACCCGTGTCTGTCTGTGCCGCGAAGCAGCTAAAGGACATCTCGCCATCTGCTCCACCTTTATGTAAATACCTATAGTATCTGCTGGATCTACAACAACGACCTAACCTATAACCTACTCGATACACTCTTGATTGCTTCGCAGAATGTTCTTTCATATTCCCAGACAATTCCCACTCGATCGAGAGTTTATTTACGGCAGCCGTTTCATTCGTAGCTGGGTTCAAATTGTCCGCCAGTGGACCAACTGGTACATACCTAGTACATACAGTACACTGAACTGAAGCCTTGCATGTAATCGGCCAACATCTCATACCCGTTTCTATCAAGCCGGGGATGTCTGGTCCAAGACTATTCCTGTAGATCTGCTCTACCGACTCGTCCTCTCGGTGCTCCGTAATACACGAGTGACGAGCTGGACGAAGGAGCCCTCCTTTCGGTTGCGTCGACGAGATTCTTCCGCCACCGTTTCTTCTTCTTTCCCTCTTTGGTCCCCTTGCATCTGGGTGGTGATACGGGATCGCTGGCACAGTGCGATTCCCTCGGGCGTCGCGCATGATTTGCGTCCCGAAAAGTGCCTTGCAAAGGCTGCGCTACTCCGAGCTTTTCCTATCCCTCCCGGCTGGGCTCTCTTCTTATGCCGAGTTTGGTCAACGTAGCCGATATTAAGCAGCAATGCTAAGATTAGCTCGTTTCGTCTCCTTATGCAGCTTTGCAAAACATCGACAGCGCGTCTCCTTGCATGCAACAACAAGGCTGATTGGGTTTGACCAGAGGATTAGTAGGTGAGAGAGACATGCGGCCGTCTCCTCGCATAGCACTGATCACCGAGATACCGCCCGCAAGTACTACCTCGACTGACTCACCTGCCCTGCGACGATATCGCATCAACCTGCTCCATACCTCCACGGCGATACAGCAAGGACAGAGGTTGGTTGGCGGCGTCCGTTGCAGATGCAGATCTTGACGTCCAGCTCCCGTTCATCTCCTGTCCAGTCACTGTCGTAGTTGTATGCACTGGGCAGGTGTACCGAGAGGGGAAGGCTGGTGCCATAACCTCCGGACAGCCGATCGATAGGCTTGGCCGTCAGCTGATGATGCAGCAAAATGCAGCAACCGAGTGCTCACGATCAGGAGACATGCCGCCGTCCAATCCGGCTAACGCTGCCCGCTGGTTGATCCTAGGGGACTGCAGACACTTAAGTCAACCCTGCATATCACTGGGCTGCCCTTCAACGGCCCAGCCAGTTGCTCATTGCATTTGCCTCCCGCTGTGTCTGTAAACGAGCGCCTCCGCTGGCCAAGGTGGGCAGATGGGGAAGCTCGGGGTCATCGCAGTCCATCGTTGCCGGCACAGCTTCATCATCGGTCTGGTGCGGAGGCGCTGCACAGTCCAGCGCACGGTATTTCAGCTGGGAGGCAGTCGAGGGCGGTTTACAGTGGACGTCACAGCGGGTTGTTTCAGCGGGTTCCAGCGCCTAACACCGCGCCATCCGTGCGTCCGCGCCGTCGTAGGTGCCGAGCTCCAGGGCTCCAACGCGTGAAAAATTTCCATGTCGTGGTGCCCGCTTTTCGATGCCGCAGCGTGCTCCGAATGTCCAGCTCTTGCAGAACCTCTTAATAGCGTCATCTCCACGGCTTCTGCTCCTCCTACCTCGTACCTCCTCGTGACCTTACTCTGGACTCTCCCATCCGAATTCCTCTTGCTACTTACCTTTATTTTCTCTTCGCCAGAGCTTCAGATCAATTATTAGCTTTGCTTTCCTACCTCCTCGAACCGTCGCTCTTCCGCATCGCTACGACTCGCAGAGGAATCCCGAATCGAAGGGGAAAAAAATTGCAAACCCCTGCTTGCAAGCCCCAAGCGCTTTTTCCACGATCGATCCCCCACCCACAGAACGCAGGAAAAAAAAGAGAGCAGCCTCGCCGGCCCATGACGGCCTTCGCCCTGCGTCCCATGGTCCCGAGATCATAACGGCCATTTCAACATGGCGTTCAACTTCAACTGGTCGCCTCTGACGGCGGACGCCGAGTTCTACTCGCGCGCGCGAGACCTGCTCACAAAGGCGCTGAACAAGTCGCCCAAACCCCCAATCATCGTCGATGACATCCTCGTCAGCGAGTTCAATCTCGGCACCGTGCCGCCCGACCTGGAGATCCTGGAAATCGGCGACCTGGCAGAAGATAGATTCCGAGGCATATTCAAGATGACCTACGCCGGAGACGCCTACTTGACGCTCAAGACGCGGGTTCAGGTACGTTGCTGGCAGCTTTGTTTGGAAACACACGGCTTTGTGCTCCGTCCCCGTACCATCTTTTTTTTCCCAGCCTTCATGGAGCTTCCCTCGCGCCGCGCCAAAACCCGATAATGCCCGAAGCAATTATAGCTGGCGCCACCACGACAATGCACTCGAAGCCGGCATCGTCCTCGGGGATAAATGCTTGAGAAAGCAGTCAATCCTTTTTTGAAAAGCGGCATTGGGCTGGACGAGTGTCTGGCAAGCTCCGGGCAGTGAGCTTCGAAATATTGCTCTGCCGGGCTGCAATTTGCCATTGCCGGCATTGCCGCTATTCGCTAGCTCTGTGCAACACACCCCGAAAACAACAGCTGAAGAAGCAGTTCCCTCTGGAATCGGCTTACAATGCTGTGCATATATGTTATCGGGTTCCCCTTGCATGAATTGTCACATTTTCAGTTCTTATCATATCTTCCTTCCTATCATTTGTGTGGCAGAAAGGAGGCAGCCTTGTCCGCAGAGAGCAGTGGATGGCTAACGAATGATGATAGGCGAATCCCCTCAACACTTACCTCTTCTCCAAGCCGGAATTTACTTCGCCACAGCCGCTGGCCGCGGCATCGGGCCTCACGATTCCCCTCTCCATCACCCTGTCCGAAATCAAGCTATCGGCCTTCATCATCCTGGTCTTCTCGAAACAAAAAGGACTGACCCTGGTGTTTCGCAATGACCCACTCGAGTCGCTCAAGGTCTCCTCGACCTTTGATTCGATACAGTTCGTGCGGGACTATCTGCAGCGAACCATTGAGCAGCAGCTGCGGAATTTGATGATGGACGAGCTGCCAGCGATTATCCATCGGCTGTCCCTGCAACTGTGGTGTCCTGATCAGGCCAATAAGGGCGTCGAGACACCCAAAGAGGAGACGGACGAGGAGGGGGTCAACCCGCTATCAAGCCCACCTCTGGACCCTGTCGATGCCAATGGCAACGTGCTGGACCCAAGCGCCATCTCCGAAATCTCTCTCAACGGCGGAGGCGAAACCCAGTCGCTCTTCTCCCAAAAGAATCTGCTGCGCCTCGCCGCGCTCACGGATTCGCATCGGACCCTTTCTCTGTTTACACCCGGCATACGAGACGTTGTTTTCCGAGCCTGGTCGGGCTGCGCCGATCGGAACGACGTCGCCACTCCGTCTATTTCGTCCCCCAGCCGAGTCCGGACGAACTCATACACAGGCGGCACAGGCACCACATATACATTTTCCGATACAGGAAGCACACTCCATGGCTCGATATCGTCGCGGCCTACACTTACAAGCGTCAACTCCTCCATGGGCCTGAGCGTCGGTGGCAATACACGATCACGGCCGGGCCGCAAGAAGAAGAACCGCGTGGTCAATCTCAGGAAGACCAAGTCTGAAGCCGTGACTCCTGAGAATCAATCCGAAACTGGAACCAGCACACCCACTTCGGTCAACCCTCCCCTCTCGGAGCCCCTATTTGACAATTCAATACCAGAGGAGGATGAGCTGCAGGATGTTCCCTTCACCGGCGACCACCTTAAGCCACAAACGCTCGTCCCCAACGTTGGCGAGGATTCGCCCACTTTGGAGGAGCTCACATCGGCCCTGAAGGACTTGAAGATGTTTGCCGACGCCACGGCCAACAGCCGGAGACCGACTCCCGAAAAGGGCAGCCCACGGGAGGCGGCAGGCGCCGCGGCCCAAACATCGCCTGACGTTTTAGACCAAGACTGGGTCATGAAGATGGCGAGCGAGATCGCACGCCGCGTCTATGACGAGAAGCGGTCCCAGCAACGGGGCAAATGGGACGCCTCGGAGGACGCCCCGCCCCCTGCATACGAGGCATCGCCTCAGTCTCCATGCCATTGAACATTGACATCAGCCTGTTCACACTGTCTATTGTTTGACGAATATGCAGATTGGCCTAGACTTGTTTGTTTTTTTCTTTGTTTCATTTCCTTTGTCTGATGGCATACATAACATGCACGTACGTTCACCTCAATGGTATTTTCGTACCTCGGCGTTTCTGGAGAGAGGGGACATGGGGAATGCAGAGCACGCATCATCAAAATAACGTCCGCAACGGGACGAAGAGGGCAGGCCGGGATGGCCAAAATGCAGAAGCGAGCATGGAGAGCAGAGCAAAAAAGATTGGCCAGGATTCAAAACCCGGTGGGGGTTTAGGGGCGGTGTTTTTTTTGGTTGCATGATTTGATACCCGGATATGCATCTTGAACAAGACGATTGGGTCCAAAAGAAGTGTGTCACCTTTCCATGCTTCTCGAGTGGTCTGCCGCCCCCCTTTTTATGGAGCGTGTCTGCAAGCAAGTGGACGTGTACGATTTGATGGATGCGTGCCATTCTGTCTTGTTCTCTCTTCTTTTCCCTCACTTCGTTTTCCCTTCTCTTGGTGGACTAACTGCGCCTACCACCCCATTGCCATTGTCGTTGCCACCCCGGGCGTGTATGATATGGATACGTTTAGAAGTTGGGAGTCCTTGGACCGGAATATCTTGGTATTTCGGATAGCGGATTCCTTGCATGGCAGTTCATGGGCATTGCAACTCTCATGATTCGGCTGGCGTTTTGTTTCTTGTTTGAGCGTTGAGCGTCATCAAGGCATATCACTGTATTACTAGAGATTGCTTCTTTTTTTCTTCTCCATTTCCTTTTGTTGTCTCTCTTCCGCTGTCGAGCGGTACCGACAGGAGAGTTGTATAACATACGGTACCAAAACCTTGTGCGTACCAAATATCGTCTACTTTCATTGGATATCAGGAGCTGGATCTGGGGCGCATTGGGAGGCTGTATTGGGTGTGTGTGGGTTCGCGGGGGGATCAAAGATGTTTAAAAAAAAAGAGACACAACTCCAATCCGCAGAGAATTATTCACAGCGACGCAAAAAAACAGAAAGCTATCTCCTGGGTTTGTCCGCTCATCTAGTGCATGTCAGTTTCCGTTGATTGATAGCTGGGGCCTTTTTGTTGTTTTCTCGACAATCTCAACCGTAAGTACTACTATATGTACAACATGTGCGAATCTGCATGTAAGGGGAAACAAGAAAATCAAACCATAATCTGGTCCACATGATCACTTGCCATCATCCCTCCAGCGTCAAAAAGGAGGGAGGGCGTGTGTGTGTGTGTGTGCAAGGGGGCACAGCAGATTCAAGACCGTTTACGCCTGGTTTTGCTACGCTATCATGCCGAGGGCGAAGTCACTTATATCTCTCATGTTGACATAGTATGTACGAACTGCTACTAAAAGTAGGGCACAAACGCCTTTTCAAGCGGTGGGGGGTTTTGTGTGCGTTTGTTGTGCCCGCCGTCCGTCGTGGCCGCCCAACCCATCTGATGCCCATCTTCCATTCCCCCCCCTCTCCCTGTCTTTGCCTAATGGGTATCCGTAGTACCGTTGAGGCCAAGGGCTGTGGTGCCTCAGCAGTGGGTGTGCCTTGGTTGCTTGGTCCCCTCCACACAAACTCCTCTTTCTTGACTTGTCCTCTTCCCCAACTCCTCGGACTTGGCTAAGCAGACGAGGGGTTCAAGTCGTACAAGTGATACTAGTTGTGTGTGCTCTCCAGCACATCTCCCATAAGACCCTGTCCGTAGATTTGGGGCACGAATGCCAAACCCAAAGGTTTCCACCGAGAGCGGCGTTAAATGTTAAAACGGTAGGGCCACTCGCCGTGGGGGACAACATCGCGCTTGGCTCGGCTTTCCCCTCACCTTCATGCGGCCGTCTGCTGCGGCCTGCGGCAAATGCTGCTCGCCCCCCCTCTCAAAGATCATGTCCCTTTCGTGCTTGCTTCATAGACTCTCCAAGAAAGAAAAGGGCGAAGCAAAAAAAATGGCCCCCGATGCGCTGGCAGCTGCTGGGCAAGCTAAAGCAAACCGGAGGGGGGGCACGCTTTGTGATGTCGGCATCATGCTTGGGACAAACACCGGCAAGCTCCCATGCTTTCAACCCTGATGGAAGAGGGCGGGGAATCTGCGCCCGAAGATGCATACAGTGTTGATAAATGCCGGATGGTCCTCTCGCTCGTCCATGGATTCGACTCGTCCGGCTTCAGCGTGAGAGCTTGGGGGGGAGCGGCAAAAGTGTCGGTACCGAGTCACGAATCCTGGCGTCGCTTCTTCCGGTTCCGCACCGGCCGCGGCGATGCTGGCGCGACTCCTTTCTACGAAGTCTTCGCCGCCGCCGCGAGTGCCGCGTTCTCCGCCTTGAGCTTGGCCAGCTGCTCCTCCTTCTTCTTGAGCTCGGCCAGCAGCTGCCGCGTCATCTCCTCCGTCTTCTGCTGCGCGTCCGCCAGCTTCTTGATCTCCGCCGCCTCCGTCTCCCGGCTAAAGGGCTGGCCGGGGCGGTTCGTGTTCGGGATCATGGCCGTCCGCTCCCAGACCTCGCCGCTGTCGGGCGCGGGCAGCGGGGGCGGCGCGCGGTTCTTGCCCTTGCCCTTGCCCTTGCCGCCGCCTGCTGCTCCTCCTCCTCCGGCCGCCGGCTTCCATCCCTTGGGCACGGCGCCGCTGGTGAGGATCTGGTAAAAGGCCTCGTAGGGCTCGTTGAACAGCTGCTCCTCGTAGCTCCAGGCGCGGACCTCGCCGTTGGCCGCCAGCATCGACTGCTTCTCCTCCTCGGTCCTGCCGTAGGGGTGGAGGCGCAGGTAGTGGTACAGCGTCTGCGGCTTCTCGCCCGAGTCGTTGACGTAGTATAGCTTGATCGTGATGTCGAACTCTCCCCATCCCGTCTCGTTGACGACGAATGGCTTGCCCGGCTCTCCTTCGACCACTGATAGGGAAGTAAACAGTCAACGGTTAGCCCCGAAACCCATCTAGAAGGGGGAAAAGGACGTACTTCGGACGTAGTTTGGGATAGACTCGTGCAGCTTGAACTGGACGCGCCGCAGCCAGTAGGTGATGTCCGTGTCCTCCAGGCCGCGCACAAAGACCTGCCACGAGTGCGTGTGGTTATCAGGCGTCCCAGGCGGTCGCGGGTTCGTGTCCGAGAAGGGGAGCGCCGTGCTGCCGACGACAAACGGGCGCCGGACCTGCGTCAGCTTGACGCGCTTGCCGAATTGGTTCGACGGCGCCATTGTTGCGGTGGCGGATGGAAGAGACGCTGTTGCACGATGTCGAGAAGTCGCGTTAGATGGTTTGTGATAGTACAAACAGCAAGATAGTAAAGGCAGATCTGGAGAAACAAAGAAAAGCGCGGGTCGCTTTTTCAGCCTTGCAGAAATGTCATCGGGCCCACTGTTTGGCAGCCAATCAAAGCCCCGAAGTGCCCAAGCTTTGGGCAGCTCGAGGTTGTTCAGCCTCATGGTGGGCTGAGCTCTTGCTCTTACCTCACTGAGGCGTGATGCATGATTTCATCGACTTTTCACATGCTTCGATCCTCAGAACATAAGACTCACGTATTCCCTTTCGCTCACAGATATTCAAACAAACGGCTCTAACCTCATTGCCATCTCTCTTGAGTACCTTACAATCCACCGCTCTACGTACCAGATTCCACAACCGCCAGCAGCCATGTCAGCAGCGGCCAAGAAGCTCATAGTCTGTGGAGGCAACGGCTTCTTGGGCTCCCGGATCTGCAAATATGCCGTAGCCAGGGGCTGGGACGTGACATCAGTCAGGTAATTTCTTTCCAGGCATATCATCTTCATCACGAGTCAATCCATAAACATATCCAAAACAAAAGCCGCTTGCTATGAACATGAACCCCCATCGCTTACACAGAATTCGTCACGTTGAAACAGCCGCTCCGGTGAGCCACGATGGGACACAGTATCGTCATCCGCGACGCCCCCTCCGTGGGCTCACAAGGTCTCGTGGGAGCGCGCCGACATCCTCGAGCCTTCAACATATGCACCTTTGCTCAAAGGCTCCGACTACGTCGTCCACAGCATGGGCATCCTCCTCGAGGCAGACTACAAGGGCGTCATTTCGGGCAAGGAGTCTCCCATCTCAGGGCTGCAAAAGGCCTTTGCTTCGACTCAAGACCGAGGCGTCGACCCCATACACAGTCAGCCTGGAGCGGCCATCAAGCCTCCCAACAAAAAAGATCAGCTGTCGTACGAAGTCATGAACCGCGATAGCGCCATTTCACTCGCCAAGCACGCCGCTGCCGAGAACACCAGTGCCTTCTGCTTCATCTCCGCCGCGGCCGGGGCGCCCGTTCTGCCCCAGCGATACATTTCCACCAAGAGAGAGGCCGAGAACGCCATCGCCACCAACTTTCCCGAGATGCGCGGCATCTTCATGCGGCCCCCGTTCATGTATGATAGCTCACGCAAGATCACTATGGGCCTCGCTGCGGCAGCCGGCGCGGCGTCCTTCTTCAACAGCTTAACAGGAAACATCCTCAAGGGCTTCATGGGCGCGGCGGGGACCAAGCCTCTCCAGGTCGATACGGTTGCAGAAGCCGTCGTCGAGGCACTTGCGGATGAAACGATAAAGGGTCCCATCGAGCTTGAGCAGATTGAGGAGCTTGCAACAAAGGGCTGGAGGAAGACAATGTTGTAAAAAGAACCAGGTCCATGTGTCATTAAAAGGCAAAGTTGCTGTGCGTCTATTTGTGCAGTTGTAATCCTGAGAACCAATGAAAGAAACCCCTCCCTCCTCTCATATACTTCAATCATGAGATCCATACCCAAATCAGCGCCTCATATCATAGTGCCGCGCTCGAAGCTGTCTCTGATCTCGGCTGTGTATTTGTTGTAGAACCGAGACAGCTTCTGATTGAACTGCTTGTTCTTCTCGTTGATGTATGTGACATCGCCGTCTTCGCCGTTCTGCGCCATCCGCTCCTTTCGCTTCTTGAGCCGGACCTCCTCGGCGCGCTGCAGATCCTTGACCAAACGATCGACGGCTTCCTTGTCGGGTTTGTTTTGCGCAAACGATGTTGTGTCGGCCGTTGAATAAAAGGTGCCGTCCTTGTCCACGGCAATGAGCTCGCCGTCCTCCGTCTCCACAATATCCAGGCCACCGGATGCCGCAGCCTTTTCGATAGCGGCCATCTTCTGCTTCTCGTACTTTTCCAGATCGACATTGACGTTGCGCAACTGCCTCTTGTAAGTTTTATTGGCCTCCTGGTGGTAGTCCTGGAAGGCATTGTTGTCGCGGTGTGCCCCCTTCTTCCTCATGCGCTTATCCCACTTTTCGCTCTCGTCCACGGTCCAGTCCCAGGCTCGTTTCCGCTCGAAATCCTCGCCGGCCTCTTCAGTGTCCGCCTTGAGCAGCTTGTGAGACGCAATCGCGTGCCGCCGATGCAGAGCGGTAAGCTCGCTGGGGTTCGTTGAGAGGCGCTGCGATTCCAGGGTGGCCTCCTTGAAGTTGGTTTCTGATGATTTCTTGGCGCGGGCCTGAAGCGCCTTGAACCGAGCCATGCGGTCCTGGGCTTTTGCTGCAGCATCCTCCTCGGTTTTCTTGCTCTCTTCGGCAGTTTGTTCGGGAGCCGGTTGGACGGGCTGAGGCTCATCGGCGGCTTCGACCGGCTGAGATTCTTCAGCGGCCTTGACGGGCTGGGGTTCTTCAGCAGCTTCGGCGGGCTGTGGGCTTTCCTCCGTTTCCATGGGCTGTGGCTCTTCTGTTGCCTCCACGATTTGAGGCTCTTCAACATTGGACTCTTGCGCTGTGGACTCGGGAGCAGTTGACTCTTGTGCCTGCTCCTGTGCCTGCTCCTGTGCCTGCTCCTGTGCCTGCTCCTGTGCCTGCTCTTCTGCTGCAGCTGCAGCTTCAGCCTTTGCAGCGGCCCTAGTGCGTCTCTTCTTTGCCGGCGGCGCCATTTCGAATGAGCTTGTAAATGGGGTTGATGAAGTAGGAACGGGGGTCTTGATGGCGAAACAAGACACGATGGCTAGGGTATCGCTGAGATAGGCGCTGGATCCTCGGCTTGACGTCGATGAAAGCTAACAGGCTTTGAGAGAAAGATAGATTAGATCAATTGGAAAGCAGTCTCCGCAGCGATACGGAATGGCGAGGGCGATGATTCTTTCGAGATGGACGGAATGTAGAGGTTGACGTAGATTGTTGGTGCTGGAGAGTTTGCAGCCTTTTCAAGAACGCTTCACTGTTCAAGGTACTACTACTGGGCTTGAGTTGGGCCAAATGCCGGATTTACGTGACTGCGGCCTCCGACAAGCTCTGAACCCACTGCAATTCTGGAACTGGCTGCAGCGCCTCAGCGCTCTGTTTTAGTGGGAGATCCAGCGCGGATCCGCTGACGATTTAGCGGAATCTGGGGTAAGCGTTGGGTACCTCGGCGGCCGCTGTAAGTTGGCTCGCTTGCGCAGTACCTGCCGCTGAGCCCGTATCCCGTATACAGGTATTGAGCCGTGCCGTCTTCAACATGTGTCGACAAATTCCCAATGCTACCATACATTCTGCTCACAGTAACAAGTTGCTCAAGGACAGGAAAAGGCCGGAACCAGAGCCTTGAATGGAGCATCAATCTGCACCGAAGCGCCACCCAAGATGATACCCTCAAGATGCTGCACCTGGACGCTCCGACTTACAACCTCAGCTCATCGCTCTGTGGCGCGCAACCAGAAGCGGTTCAGGGCCTTTGTGCGGAGAATCGACAAGAACAACGAGGTGTACTACACGATCGCCAACAAGCGGCCCCCCAAGTCCCCGGATGCCATTCCCGTGAGAGACGACTTCTTCGAGATGCCGGATCTGCTGCTGGACCTCGATGCGGAGGAGAGTCCGTTCGTGCGCCAGGCAGACGAGTCCGATGAGCGGCGGCTGGAGAGGAGATGGGACGTCAACCCGAAGAGAGTCCATGCCCAGAAACAGCTCGAGGCACTGCGAGAGCAAATCGCCGAGTCGCGGCGGAGAGCAGACGATGTCTTGTCGAATCCAGCGAACATCTGGAGACTCAGCCCTCATGATGTTCTCTCAGCGGCTCTTCGCTGCCAATCAAGGACCATCGACGACGCCGACTTCCCTGCGACGAGTTCAAGACTCTCTGCGACCCCTGGGGAACTGGCAATTAGGCAGGACTCGGGACTTGTCGAGGTGCTTTGCCGAGAGAATGGGATTCCTCCCCATGCGTTGCAAGATGACCAGGTCCTGTTGGAGTGGATGGTGTTGCGGTACAAGAACCTCCAGCGCACCATCACAAATCGAAGCGAGCAGCCGTTGTCGCCGTCTGAGTTGACTGCTGCCTTAAAGGACCAGACATCCATCAACGGCATCCGTCGACTGGTGTTTCACTCCCTGAGCTCCGAAGGGGCGGCAAAGACATACTTCATCATCAAGCGAAAGGATGCCAGCGAGGATTCGACGAGCACAGAGGACTACGTCCCGCGCGCACTACGCAGCGCCTGTCTCCATGTTCTGAGTCAACATCCAGGAAACAAAGCGGCCGCCCATCTGGAAATCCTGAGCCTCATTGGGAATCTAGCCGCGAGACTCTCCTCCGACGGCGTAGCGCTCCCTTCTACTCTGACCGGACTGGCACTTCGGCTCTCCGCATCAGCGGGCATTATCCAAGCGGCATCTGAATGGCTGCACCGGGGGTTTCAGGATCGTTCATGGGAAAGGCGCGCTGCCTCGGCAAACGACATTGAAGATGCGCTGAGGGTGTTTACGCAGCATCTGAGCGGTCGAGGGGATGGTGTTGGTGGTGGTGGTGGTGGCTTATACACCGTTCACGATCGACAAATGCTTCTGCAGCTGCTGACCGGCATCGATGAGCATCATGCGATATCGAGCGAGTCCTTCCGCTCTCTCGCTCTCTTCCATCTCGGCGAACAGAGCCGGGTTTCTACAGCTCAAGCATACGGCATGTACGAATCGTACATGGCACTCCTGGGCCATCTCGGGGCTTTGCGAACAATTTGGAAAGAATGGCACGTCTCTCGGCCCCTCGTGTCCCGTTTCCTGAACCCAAACGACGGCCACGCTCAACGGCTTGCTCAGCTCTTTGAAGCGTCGTTGCAGATTGCGCTCAGGAGAGCCGTCCTGCAGCCGGAGGAGACGAGATGCCCGCCCGATATGGAGCTGGGCGAGTGCGTTGCGCTGGACTACCATTCGATTGGTTCGCAAGAGCCCGATTCGGGAACGGTCGACGACGTGAGAGGGATGGCTGAGGCGAAACTGTCTACAGGTGGTGACCTTTTGGGCTTGCCGTCTTTCGATTTGACCCTTGACGAATGGCTAGTGAAGCTTGAGGAGACCACTCGCCAAAGGCCTTCTTCATCTCAGTGATTACTATTCAGATGGACGAATGAGCATATTGCCCATTTGAGAAAAAATCAACGGAATCTACGACATGATGCTTTCTTTCAATTTCTTCTCAATGTCTGGGCGGATAGAACTCGTACTCTAGAGTAGACCGGGGGCAGTGTTCATGTTGATGCGGCAGTTTGGCATGATGACAGAGCATCTTCAAAAGGCATCATCTCATTGTAAGAAGACGAGCGTTCAGTTACATATCACATGAAACTTGGCCGACTTGGAATGCAAAATTCTGGGGACACAATGGTGCAATCACACCCGATCCCGCCTCTTCAAAAGGGGGAAACAAAACTCAAATCATGCACTGTAAAGAACAAAAGATGTGCTCGTTGGCGCCACCATCCAGCCATATGAGGTGCAAATTGACAGTGGGAATGGAATCTTACACGCAACTTGTCTCGTCGGGGGGGAACCTCGTCTGAACGCCTTTACCCACTCTCGAGAGTCTTACTGACTCGAGCTGAATGAACTGATGGAAGTATTTCCCCCCCTTTCTCCGGAGGTGAGGAAAGTCGACGAAGGAGAGGAATACCTCGAGGCATGTACTGCCCCCCTCGTGCGTATCGGTTGCTGTGTTACATGAGCACTTCCACCAGATACCGGTGGGCCAGGCCGGCTACAATGTAAAACCTGATGCTCTACTGTAATGTACGCTCTAGCCTTGATTCCAAACTCTAATTGCAAGTTGATATAGCCATGTAACGAAAGCACTGCGCGTCTGTAAGCGACGCCAAATTGTGAGAACCCTAAGAGTGAAGCCCTAATCTATCTCAAACGCAAAAAGCCAGATCGGAGGTCAGACACGGCACACAACGGCACAGAAACATTCCACCCCCCGTCCACTGGTCGTCGTTGGCCACGCTCGCAGGCCACGGACACCAGGGACAAGTTGTTCTTCGTGCTTGTAGCATGTATGCTAGTCAGGAGACGAGCATTCATGCAAAAGCCTTTTGCCTAGGGCCACCTTACTCGTGTCTGCTCCAGCAGCAGGACGGGGGGAACGTGATAGTATTAGCCCTCCGGACCGATCCCGCGCAGATCCATCCGGTGGGGATATCTGCCCGCTACTGAACCCCCGTTTCCGTCGAGATATTGTATGTCCATCCCATTTTCCTCCTGTTTCTGCAGAGCTCGTGCGCGAGTTGGCGAGCATCCCGGCGCAAAAGTGAGGCGCAACGGATGCCCTTGTGTTTTCGTACAAGGGCAAGTACAAGGACTTCGTATGCCGTCGAATGACCCGCTCCAATGTCGCCAGGGCCGCTCTTGTGTCATGTCGTGTTCGCTGGCATTCTGGAAACGAGGAAGCGAGGCCATCTGCTTCGTGTGGACACCCCACAAAGCAGAAAGCCGGCCAGGATAAAGTCAATCTTGTTCGGTTGCCTTAGCAGCTTGGCGAGGAAGCCTATCGACACGTATCATACATACAGGTAAGGACCCGGCAGACCTTTTGCCAGCGGATGGAATGGCCATGCGTGTCACACTCAGGGCGCAGCTCCGGTAAGACAATGTCGACATTCTGGATGAGACGTGCATATGTGCATACTACTAGCCAGCAGACCGGCAGGAGCACGGACGTGCTTCGGATGTCATCAACCTGCACTGCTTTTGCATCAGCTCTTGAAGCCCGAGATGAGATTGCGGGGTGGCATCTAGTCTAGCAGGCATCAAGTGCGACGACGGCCAGACGGGTATTACTCGCAATGCTGGCTTGTAATAGGCCAGGTGCCAACTATTGCCACCGCTTCTTCTTCCTTCTCTTTCTCTTCGGCTTCGTCTCGGTTTGCCGTCTCAGGAATAACAACCTATACCAGATGAAGTCAAATCAGTGCCTCCCAGCATGGAGTTGGGACGCAATGCAGAGTTCATTCGGTCTCAATTGCGTGGGATGACTTGATTGGCAGAAAGCCTCCCGGCATCCTTGTTAAGGCAGACAAGACAGCTTGTCCGAACTGGCGGTGTTGGTGTTGAGAGTGGCAATCTCGCGGGTCGGAGTCCTTGGGCAAGCTGGACAAGGGCTGAAGGGGCAGAGGGACGGTCATGTAAACGGAGCCGCGGCCCCCAAGCTGCAAGTCGGCCGTCTGGCGGTATGCCGGTAGAAACGGGACGCTTCCCTGTGCAGCTTCCCCATAATGATAGTCAAGATGGAGTCGAGCCTGGGCAATGGCACCTAATGTGTGCTTGTGGAATAATACGAGTACCACATGGTACGAACAATGCCAGCAAGATAGTTTGACTGTACTCGTAAGAAAGACAGTGAGCTCGTCAATGCCTTCTATCCGAACTGCCACCGTCTCTCGTAGGGGATGGCGCTTGAATTGGGACGCGATCATCCTGGCGATCTCTCAAACTTGGGGGAAGCAAAGCTTGGGGATGTTGGAGAAGTTCCCCACAGCCCAGAGAAGCCGGCTCTCAGTGGCAGACGAGCCGTCGTGTAATTTTGCCCGGCGTCTTACCTCCGTCTTCTCTCTCGAAGGGCTTTTTGTTCTGCCTTGACAAACATACCAAGCACAACTAAACTGGATTTTGCAATTCTTTCTTCGTTTTCTTGTGGGTGGGCCGACGAGGCGAGACCCGTCCTAGGCGAAGATGGCTCTTGGCTTGTATCCCACGAGCCTGGAGTCTGGAGAATGAGTCGCCATGTTTGGCGCCGAATATGGCCGCAACCGAACAAGCCGCATGCCGCAGGTGGATACACCACCGGGCAACTAAACAGGGGAACAAGGGGCGAACGGGCGACAGAAGCTTCGGACAACTGCTCATCAGCTCATGTTTCCTTACGATGCGTCGGTCCAAGCAGCATGCGTATTAGCAGTACGAGTACGCCGAAGAGCGTTTGAGAAGCAGAGCGTTTGAGAAGCGGAGCGTTCAGGCACAGGAGCAAGGCAAGACAGTTCTTGTCTGACAGCGGAAGCCGGAAGCCGTGGCCCGTCAGCCCTAAGACTGAGATTTTGCCATTGTTTGGGTTCAGTCTGACAGGCAGAACACTGCGTGTTGAAGCTAGCAGGATGCGATGCGCCCCGAGCATGGTGGCATAGTAGTAAGGTTCCGTGTCGTCAGGCACCAGGACCATGGCCGCAAAGGTTGATATTTAGATTCGACTGAAGCGAAAGCCGGGTCCATCGCACGAGCGTCTGGAGCTGGGGAGAGCTTGAGACGGTACTCCGTATGTGCCACTTGAGATGCGGTTGCAGCAACCCCACAGAAACGACGAGTCAAGATTTTGGCCGGAAGATTGTTGGTAGCGATACAAGCACCAACGCTGTGAGCACGTGTAGTTCTGTATGGGGGAGCCCTTGAGCGACTGTACCAGGACCAGAGCGGGACGGGATGAAGGCGATCAATCACATCGATGTGCCGTGCAGACTAGCAGACAATAGTATGTACTGTAGGGCCATGGCGAGACTGGACTGGACGGCGAGGCGAATCACGTTGGTGAAGCTGCATGTCTGAAAGCCTGCCGACTTGCATCGACGGAGGCTCGGCTACAGTTCGCACAGTTCAGCTGCTGGCCTGGAGCAGTACCGAGTTCCGTATGTAATCCAGACTATTGCAATTGCATGGGCCAACAGCGAAGAAGACGGAGCTTGATAGGTAGGCAGGCAGGCATTCATAGAGACCCGTGCTGGCGGTCGGACGGAGTCCCGGGATGGCGAGAGAATGCCGAGGGCAAGACTCGCACGGAGGACACGTGTAGGAGACCGTGATGGCGTGTATGTTGGGAGATGGCTGATGACAAAGAAGAGAGATGGAGAGGCAGTGAAGGTTATGGCGGAGGCTCGGAGGTCGGGAAGCAAAAGGGAAGATTGAGGTTGAATTGATAGGGTGGAAAGAATTACACGGGCGGTGCGTCATGAACGGAGGGACGGACATCAGGGTGAGCGGACAGGCGGGGCATTGGCAAGCACCGTGATGGCTCTTTCCTTGAACCCTGCAGAAGCTGTGATGTTGAGCTTGATCAATTGGACTGTATAGATATCTAACAACTACCAAGTCGAGCTTAGCAAAAGGGTCTACGAACCGACAGACGGAAACAAGGAAATATCTTACCAGAGCAGTGAAAATTCAAATTGAAGAAACCATCCACTCACATTCACACATCACACTTGCGTAATAACGAAACAGCACTACATAAGAAAAAGCGGCCATCGGCCCAGCGAAATCCTACGTATCGTACATTACAAGGAATACGGAGTAGGAAAAAGAAGCAACCCCCGTGGCCCCCGAAGGCCTCGGACGTCAGAGACCGCTGATTGGGTCACGGCGGGTGCACGGGAGGAAGAATATCTGGAGCCGCTGGGGAAACGTGCTCGCTGGACTGGACGAGTGCGGACGGATTGCTTTCGTCAGCCGTCTGTACCGTCTCAGAGGAGGACCCACGCATCGAGAGGATCAGAATGGATAGTATTGAAGAGATTTTCAGAGTTTTGTCATGCTGGAAAACAGCCCAGCAGATGTTCCTAACAGTATTCCGTAAGATATGGCATGACAGTGGATGAGGGACAGCCTGATCAGAATGAATCAATATGAAAAATTACTTTGCTCTGATACTCCACTGTCCTGCTTCAGCCGGTGTAATGCGCTGCGGCTGATACATACATGCTGTAAGGTAGCTGCAGAGCTTCGTGTCAATGCATGAATGAAAAGAAAAGTTTTCCATCCTGCCTTGTTCCCCTTTTTGCCGCGGCCCCCCAGACCACTCAATTTGCCTTTCTGCCTCTGCTATCTTTTGCTTGTCTGTGATAACGACGGCTTGTAACTTCAACATGCCCACAGGGGCTTACACCGTTGAGACGGATGCGATAAGGGGCGCCGCCATGGCTACCACCTGCTAGGAATGCTGTCACTCTGCAACTATTATTATACCGGCACACATAGAGAAATGCCACAATACCTGCAGCAAGCCACCGGGCCCTGACGCCGCCGAGGATTGCGACTGGACGGCCAATAGCAGCCGCCAACGGCAGAAGGAAGAGGCGCCGAAGGATCGTCGGCCGGTGTCTTGCGGGCAGCACAGACAGGCACAGCAGCTTTGACATTGCACAGGTGAGGTACCGCTACCTGGTGGTCGCACAGCTGGCTCGGTACTCCATACAACCTAGTAAGTACACACAAAAACACAAACCCGCTGAAGGGGGAAGCGGGTTTCGAAGCAGCTTGGAAGAAGGCCTTGGAACTTGAAGAGGAACCACCCGGAACCCTGGCCCGCAGAGACCTTGCCAGTGCAGTGGGCAGGATGGAGTACCGGTACTGCCGCTGCGTGCCAACTCAAGGCCGCTCCACCGGTGCATGGTACGAGCCCCGGGGTCTTTGGAACCCATGGCCGGATGCATGTTGGCGGAGCACAGGTACAGGGTACGAGCCGGCCAGCAGGGTGCACGGTATCGGGTACCTGGGGGGCCGTACCTTGCGAACAACTGGCAGCGAGGAGACGGGATGGTCGAGCGAGGCCGCAAAGGGGAGCATGTTGCGTGTGCTGCTAAACTGACAGAGGCAATTGAGCAGGTTTGCGTGTCGTGAGATGCAGTGTGAAAAGCTGTTCAATGCACGCGTCCGAGATTGAATCATTCTCGATTGCCATCCTCCGGACTCCGTACCGTGCATTAAACGCAACCGCTGCAGCTGTCCCCCTGGCCGCCCTTTTCCGGCCCCCCGTGCGTCGATCGCCCACTCGGAACAACGACCAGAGGCCCATTGTTGGCACGGCTAGCTCAAGTCGGGGCCGTGGACTCGAGCGGACGACTCGTCACTTTGCGTGGGAACGCGTGCTGCTGCCCATTGGCCTCCACTCGTGCCTGGCAGCGAAGCCACGATGCGAGGGCTTTGCGCTGTTGCGAGAGCGAAGAAGAGGAGACTCGGAGGTGGTGAGCGTACAGTATTACTATAGTGGTAGTAGTACCTGGAGCTGCCGCGGGCTTTGGCGGTGCTTTGGGATGGGGGGTTATACATGTACACTCGGGTTATTAATTCCTCAGCATCCCCGGGATACGTGGTGTCTTTTGTAAGCCTTTCTTCCATCTCTTTCTCGAGCAAAACTCCCCTGGCTTGGACTGTTCGTTTTCCCTGTATAGACCGGCAGCATCTCATCTTTTGTACACATCACCTCACGTCGACCCTTGCCCGAGCTCGACAAGCCCTCCGAGGAAACAATCGAAACCAACGCTGCACCCCATGCTGACTTGTGCTTGCTTCCACTGCACGAATCTTGGCCCATAAGCACGTCAGCAACTCAAGTACCTTTCCAGTGCAGGCCCGTCTTGCAGGTACTTGTATACTAGTACTACCTTACATCCAGCCGAACGAGCCCAGCCCTACCACCGAGGCTTCATCCGAGCGAATTCGCACTTTGCCCGAGCTCGACGGTGTTCCACAATTTATGTTTTATTTTGAAACATTGCAAAGCTTCTTTCTCTTTCCCATTGGAAAATAATCAAAAGCGGAATAAAGGAGAAAAAAAATCGAATAAAAAGAAGCTTAACGCAAAAAAAAAGGAGACGAGAGCCCACAAAAGCAAAGAGTCATCGCTGCCTGCGCCAAACAAAGTCCGAGCCCAAGACGAGTAAGGGACTTGTATCGCGACATTGTGGAGCCCGGCGTCGACAGTTGTGTCACCATCGGTACCTGCTGCTGCGCTGGTACCAGCCCTGAGCGCAAAGTTACTCCCGTCCGCGCCGATCGCACCGCTGGAAACTTTGTCACCCAGCAGCGACTGCGAGTCTCCGCTTTCGGCTGCCATCAGATTATACAGCCTGTACAAGTACGGAGAAGCAGAAGCACGACAACAAAAGCGTCTCACTCGCCAGCCCTTTCTCACCTACTCCTCTTCTTCTTCCTCCTCTTCCTCTTTCTCTCTTTCACTATAACTTCCCCGTCCTCTCGCTTCTCCTTCAATCAATCCCGCAATCCTGCAAATCCGCCTTGCAACACCCCAAGCAAACAGCCCATCGTGCAGCTCAGCCTCCGGTCGACCCAGCACTAGGACCTTCATCCCGTGCCACCACTTACACCAGACGCACTCCATCCATCCATCTCACCCTCCGTGGTGCTTATCATCTGACCGTCGTTACCACTGCTATATTTGGCCCTTTGATCTGCTCTGCCGTCGACGCTCTGCTCCTGTCAACTGAACACCAAAAGTGGATAGCAAATCTGCCCGACGAATCGATCTGCAGCATCCTTCCATCTACCGGGTCCTGTCGATCAGTCCTCAACCCTCTCTGCTCCGGTGTGACCTCCCGTCATTCTTCACTTCACGTCACGCCTGTCGAGCAAGCGGTGCCCTCTTATTCATCTTGCGCACTCTCCAATACGACGTGTCGCATCATACACCCGCCGGAGATAAAGCCAGCACAGCGTTCTGTCTGGCTTCCTTGATTTTGGTCCTCTCACGCCTTGGACGGTCCTGGTAGCCCTCCCCCCACGCTCTCCGAGCTGCCAGGATAACACCTCGCTTTTACCCACGCACTTTTTTCCCTCCATCCTCTTTCTTCTCCATTCCAAATGCCTCACCAGCGCCGAAAGTCTGGACCTTACACTGCGACCGCATCGACAACAGACGTCCGAAAGGCAGTCACCGCAACGCCGGCTCAGTATAAGCGACCAGCCATGACCCGACGACACACTCCGTCCTCCGCCCAGAAGCTGGGGCGAGGCGGCCGCGAGGTCAGCACCGAGATTTGGGACAACGACGAGCGCGAGAGCTTCCCCCAGTACTGGTATGGAAGCAACTACTGTTTATAACGCAGCCGAGGCCTTTGTACTGACTCTTGCTTCTTGCAGCACGATTTGCGAAACGCAATTTCACACCCACGACGAGCTAGTTCTGTACTGCTCCGAAGCGTATGTTTATAATGATGAGCCTCCGGAACTGCACTGATCATGGCCACTAACACGCTTGTGTAGATGCCGCCGAGTCGACCAGGACTCCTCCGCGCAGGCAAAGTCGGTTCGCAGCTATTACTCCTCCGTGTACACGCGCGAGCGTCGCATCCTTACCGAGACCTTGGCCGGGTCTGAGCCGCGAGACATTGTGCCACGGGCGTCGCCATCACGGCCCAGCTCGATGCACCTCACCAACTCTCCCCCGGCTTCCCCAGACACCACGCTCAACTACCACACCTCGGCCATGTCTGCCCTGCGATCCCTCAACGTGAGGCCACCCAGCCCTCCGTCGCCCGCTGGCAGCGGCATCTGGCCCTTCAGCCGCAGCTCAGCTACCAGCCCCAACAACTCGTACACGCGACCATCGGCGAGTCTTTTGTACAGCCACCCGAGCACCTTGGACTTGGCCTACGGGGGCACCTACTCGCACGAGACAGGGTCTGCAGGCATGGACCGGCCGCTGCCGTCGCGGGCCCCAGGCTCCAGCTCGCGGCCAAAGAGCGTCGAGCTGGTCATCCCCATGCTGACTCGGTGATTTCGGACGCAGCGAGGTGGGTGTGCTGGGGGGTCGTCTGAGGGCCTGAGATGGGAGGAAGCGGTTGGCTGCAGTCCCTCCGCCGCGAGCGTCTCTAGCGGCCCTCCCCCCTTGCGCACGGCATGCCGGCTAGCAAGCAGCTGGGCTCGCGGCGGCCTATCACCGGACTGGCCTGGGACCGTAGGCCACCGCTGTGGGGGTGCTCTGGCGTTGCTGTGGTGCGGCCAAGGCAATACATGCTACTAAGACGCAGACGAACGGGGACTGGCGCATGCAGATGGTGGTGATGGAACGTCGTCAACACACCGCGCCTCCGCATTTTGCCAGAATTCTGGCCAAACGGCGCATTGATTCAGACTGCGGGGTTACAGGGATGCTGATGCCCAGCGGCAAGGGTCTCGCCGTGGGCTGGCAGCACTGTCTGTCACCACCTTGAACGGACTTGTGGCATGGAATCGATTCGTCTGAGCATTCAGCCAGCAGACCGGCCACTCTGCTGATGCCTCCACCCCCCACACACTCTACACAACTGTTACTGTTTTATCCTTCTTTTCTTCAGGCGTTCTTCAGGGAGATACACCACACAAGCACAACAAAAGTTTTGATACCGTTTTCGCGGGTTGATCACTGTTATCAGTGGTCGCTTTGTTTTCGCGACGGAGGGAACTTTCGGGGCCTTTACCACTTTGGACGGCTTGATCTGCCCCCTCGCGGCGCTTTTCTCTTTTTTCAACATCCCAACTCGAGCTTCTCTTATCAGCCGCTCATGCTGTCACCTAGCACCACATAGTGTGACCGCAGTCCACCAATCCTGACCCCGGAGCGTCGCGTCGCTTCGCTTCGACATCCTTATCTACCTCGCCTTCATCGCTCGGGGATTTTTCTTTTTCAATTTTTCTCTTTCCTACTGTTTCCCTTACATGACAAAGAACATCACGGCCTCTTGGCACAAAGATGGTTACACGTCAACTGGTTAGATATAAAGCACGGCATGGATACTTATAGGTAATCTGGTATTTGGTGGGCAACTGCACTGTACATGGAGTCGACTGGGTATATACTTTTCAAAAGACGGAGAAGGATCTCTGGGGATAGGACAGAACCCATAGATGATGAACAATCGACAAGTCAATGAATAAACATAATGCTAATGACTTGAAAACGATGGAACGCTTGCTGAATGCAGCCAATTATTTGCACGAGTCGATGGATGTGATTGGTTTGGGGCACTCGACTTGAGCGTATCAGCGCAGCCGGCGTTTCTCTGCCGCAGGATTCATTCAAGGAACAGCGCAGGCTACCTGCCGGATTGATCGTTTCAATCATCCCGCCTTTTTCTGCATGTAAACGACCTATAGTATGATAATACTTTATGCCGAGCATTCATAGACAAAGGCGGAATATTCGAAGCGCGAGTAGATAAGACATCCAGATAAGCTTGCTTGAAGCCGCTTCCGTCCCTTGCCTTATCAAACCGTGGCGCTATTACAAAGTACGACTCCCTTGGATCATGTAAGGTAGGTGGGTAACTAGAATTGTAGATCGTACGGTGTGTGATTAGGTAAGGAGGAGTGATAACGCATGCAAGATGTTTCCGAGGTCGTCGTCTTTCCTACATACATACGTTGTCTGTTGATATGGACTCTTATCTCTCTCTTGTTTTCGCTTCAATGTATGTCTAGGGGGGCTATGTAAGGGGGGGAAACATGCATGTATGTGGTCCCTGCTTCGTAAATGTGGGAAAAGCTGCATTGCGCCTGGGAAGACATACATACATACATACATACATACATACATACATACAAAGTGCAGCAGTAGTAGTAAGGTAGTATCACTCTATGTGGTGTTACGGGGAGGATGCTGTAAGTGAGATGGAAGGGGGACCTGCATGGGGGTTTAATCGGTGGGATGGGGCTTGGGAATGAGAGAGAGAGATGCAGGATACCTTTTATCGTACGAGGTCAGACTCAGATAAGGAGTGTCATATCGCAAGTAAGAATCAGCTTATACTGACTTTGGGATGTATGTATGTGCTGGAAGACAAATTGCATGACGGCTGAAGTTGGTTTAACTACCAAGGCAGTTGGCCAACGAACATTGGAGGCTTTCAATCTTCTACCGTTGAAGGTTAACCCGATATAGACGTTCGGCAAAGTATAGATGTCGTTGCCAAGTATTACTTTATACCTTGTCATTTTATCAGTTGCTTTTATTTAAAACCTTCTTCTTGTTTCTCTCTCTCTTTCATGAAGCCGGTTTTGCTCCAGATGGAGTCTCATTAACCGCGGAAACGCGCCATCTATGAAAAAAACACATTTCGTATCACCTGAAAACTCGTTGAAAAACGGCATCAACTGCTGAGAGAAACTCCCCCGAACCTTGGGTGTGTGTGTGTGTGTGTGTACCTTTGCCTTTCGGGATGAACAGGGAAACAATGATATAGGTACGATGGCGCTTTTCAAAACACCAACTCTGGTTCGCCGTTGTGGGTTGCATGAGACCTGCATGATGCCGTGCCACGCATTTGTTCTTTCCCTTTCCCCCCCTTGCATACCCGTACCGTGCCCTTTTTCGGATTTGCTCTATGTGAAGGTTTTTTATCTTTCGGAAAAGGAAACGGGCTGTTTATCCCGTATGAAGCAACCATGTATGTACCGTACGCAACGCCAGTACTACCAGGGGTAATGCAGCATCGCGGCATATGGACCATTGTGTGTTGTAACCACCGCGTTTTACACTTGATCCGTACAATTTCTTTTTCTGTGCTCCTTGGGCCTTTTTTTTTTCTTGCTGTTTTATCCTTTGTAACGACGAATGCTACTTTCATGCAAGGTAAGGTAAGGTGAGTCATAGGGAAAAAGACTCCTGGATCTTGGTTGTGGAAGTTTCTTTGCGAAGAGAGTTGCCCATCTCCGGGCTAAGCCAAAGCACTTAGATATTGGAGATATGTGATAAGATGTGGGAAAGTTACATTCATTGGGGTGCTCGTGAGTTCCAAGGACGTTTCTTGTTGATACTTTTACTTATCCTCTCCTACGCATGCTAATGGTGACTTCTGCTACATCTTGCTTTTGGATCCTTCAAAAGGCATCTCCGGCCAAAACGGACTGAGTCTTATAAAACATGAAAGCGGCCAACACTGTCCAGTGAACATCAAATTTCCACAAGTAGTTGTACTCAGTCTACCTCGCCCTACACCATCATTTCTGTACACATCTTCACATCAAACAAGTAAAAAACGTCTCATACCATATATCATTCTCCGTCCAAGCCTCTACCTAGTCATCTCACATATCCCGCAGTGCCTTGCCCAGGTAATAAATGTCGAGAAATGAACAGCACACCCAACAAAGAACAACCTCGCGGACGGAGACATCATATATGGCGTAATAGCTAGTTTCGGGAAAAAAAGCGCAACATCATAGCCCTCGTCTGGCGCCCAAGATCATCATGGTGAAGACAAAAAAAAAGGACGCAACCTCCTTCATGCTGCTTGCCTCTCTTCTCCCCCCTCTCTTCCTCCTCCGCCCAAAGGATAACACCAAGTCTTTTTTTTTTCAATGACATGAGACGTGACGCAAAATTAAGAAATCATTACAGCCTACCCCTGAATTTGAAACAAAACTGCTTCTCTTCCCTCCCCTACTTTCATTTTCTTCTCATCTTTATATCCCTTCTATAGGTCTTGAGCTCGCCATTTCTCCATATCGGCCTCGGTGCTTGGTCGTGTCGTATGCCTGAAGCACGCGCGTCTGGCTCTCGTCGGCCTGCGAAAAGGCATAGCCACGCTGCTTACGCATACGCTGCACCTGCCGAACCTTGCGGATGGCTTTCTGGAACTGCTCCATCCTGTCATTCTGAAGTTAGCACATGGCTCTCGCATCCTGTCATGCATCATAAACCGCAGATGGAATACTGGTTGGGGTGGAGGGGGGGGGCTGTGCTGTGCTGTGCTGTGTACGTGCACATACCTAGGCCGGTAGTCCTGAATGTTGTACTTTTGAATCTCCTGAATGTGGTGGTACGTCTGCGGCCAGTACATTCGCTTGGCGTACTTCCAAGCGATATCTCGCGACAGACACAGCAAGGCAAGGACGAATGTCTGCAGCCAGAAGACGGGGCTGCTGTACAGCTTGGGGATGACGCCGAAATACTCGGGGGAGATGTTGACCTTGGGTGCGACGGTACCGTAGACGGCGATGAACACCCACCAGATGACCATGCTACCTGGGATGGCCATGACATGGTACTTGGTCCAGTTGTTGGTCACCAAGGCTGCCTTGCCTAGCACGGTGAGGAGGACGGCGCCGTACAGGGCGGTTCCCCACACCCAGTGGCCGTCGGTCTGCCCCTGGCCGTCAATCACGTCGCTGTACCAGATGAGCTCGGCAAAGATGTAGAGGACGAGGGAGTGGTAGATGGCGTTAGCAATCCACTGCGCAAAGACCTTGAGCTTGAAGGCCGAGTTCTGCTGGCCCATCATGTAGAGCTGGGGGTAGCGGTCGAGCAGGCGCGCTGAGATGAACTGATCCAGGATGCCAATGGCCAGCGGCGGGAGGACGGTGTAGAAGACGTTGTAGAAGGACAGCGTCCACGATTCGTAAATGACCTGGCCGGAGAAGACGTTCTGGAACGTGTACCAGAACTGCGTCAAGTACAGGGCAATGTTCTTGTAGAAGGAAAACAGGATCGTCTTGCTCACGCGCTGGTAGCTCCACGCGCCGTGGACAAGCAGCAGCTTCCGCAGGTATCTGAACTGGGCAATGGCCACGTCGGCACTCCGAGCAGCCTGCAGGCCTTCGACACCGCTGATGCCGACGCCAATGTGTGCTGCCTGGATCATGGAGACGTCGTTTGCTCCGTCGCCGATAGCGAGGAGAATCGACTGCTTCTGGTACTTCTTGACGAGCTTGACGACCAGGGCCTTCTGCAGGGGTGACACACGACAGCAGATGACGGCCTTGCACATGATGGCGAGATCGAGGAAGAGCTTCTCCATGTCCTTCTCCAGCGCATACGTCAGGGACTTGCCGTCAATGACAAGCGCCAACGACTCCATTTCAATGGTACCGTCGCCCTGCGTCCTGATGGCATCGAGCTTCTTCTGGATGTTATCGCGAGTCGCGGCAGACGACTCTTCGTTTACGATCAAAAGCATCATGTCCTCGCTCAGGAGCTTGCAACTCATGCCGATGTTGATGGCCGTTTCCTGTCGGTCTCCCGTCAGAACCCACACCTTGATGTTGGCTTGCTGCAGCGTGTGGATCGTCTCTGGCACGCCGTCTTGCAGGCGGTCCTCGATGGCAGTGGCGCCCAGGAGGTAAAAGTCGTGCTCGATGACCTCGGCAGCCTTGTCCAGCTCCTCCGCTCGATTGCCGCCCACAGTCGTCGCCGCCGTGTCAAAGATCTGGCGCCACTCACGGTACTCCTGCTCCGGCACTTCGCGCATGGCCAAGCAGAGCGTCCGCAGCCCCTCCGAGGCATATTCCTCCAGGTGTCGCAGGGTGATTTCGACGTGGGGGTTCTGGTCATTGAGTCGCTCGAGAATGACGGTGTCGGCACCTTTGCAGTAGACTCGAATCTTTCCGTCCGGGCAGCGGAAGATGGCAGACATTCGCTTGCGAGTCGAGTTGAACTCGCAGACGGCCAGCAGCTCGTACTCCATCTCTCGGCCGTTGGCTTCAATGATGACCGACTTTGGTTTCCGCGCAGTGAACTTGTATCCCATGGTGACGGCTCCGGCCACCAGGGCACCCTCGTCGGGAGAGGCAGCCTGGTACTTGATATGGCCCTTCTCGTCCATCTCGGGAATGACCGTGTGGCAAGTAGCGAGCAGCGAGAGGAAATGATCAATCATGCCCGCGGTCTGGTGGCCCTGGGTCAAGTTGGCCTGCAGCGCCTTGAAGTCGTAAATGGCCGTCTCTTCGTCGTCCGCGCCGCTCGCTCGCCGGTCCTCGGGAACCTCTTCGGCGTACATGACGCCGCCAATGGAGCACTGCTTGAACTCCATCATGTTGCACGTGAGCGTGCCGGTCTTGTCAGAGAAGACGTATTCGACCATTCCAAGCTCCTCCACCAAGCTCGACGTTCGGCAAGTGGCCGGTGTATCCGTCTTGTCGTAGTACATGTCGAGGTCGTCGTTGATGAGGATGCCGTGCCAATACTTGACCAGTTCCACCGTCACAAAGAGGGAGATGGGGACCAACGCGGAGAAGAGCACCCAGTACGTGACCATGTCCTTGAAGAATGTCGAAGCCGCCACTCCAGCGCTGTCGATCTTGTCCAGGTAGAGATACGAAAGCGAATCGCCAGTGGCGCCGCGCATCACCAAGTCTCCCACGGTACTGATGACGCTGAGCACCAGCAGCATGCCGACCAGCATGAGCACGAGCCAGTTGAGCTGCCTCTCGACCTTGGTTCGCTTGATCGGCGTCGCGGTGGCGTTTCGCATCAGCTTGGTCTCGTGGCCGGTGAAGACGACGATGCCGTGGATCCAAGGGGTGTTTCTCAGAGTGGCACCTCGAAGGAGCAGTTGCTCGGGGTTTAATGCCAGCTCCTTCTCCCCTCCTCCGGCTTGCATGATCAGGGTCGCTTCGTACGTGTACAGACTGCTGTTGGGCTGCTCCGACTTGATGCGCCCTCCCAGTCGGCTCACTTCGCTGGGCGACACCAATGTCGACGTCTCGGGAAGGGCCTGCTTGATCTTCAAGTTGGTCTCGCCGTCCAGGTTTGCCGTCTCGATATAACAGAGACCCTCGGGCTCGGAACTTGCCAGAAGCACCAGATCGGCCGGGAACGGCTCCTCAGACTCGACCCTGACCACGTCGCCCACCGCCACGGCATTCCATTTCGTTTCCGTAAAGGTCGAGCCACGCAGGACTCGCGCCGTAGAGGTGTTGAGCGCATTGTCGGCCACTCTCCTCCGGTAATCCTCCACCAATTCCTTACCGGCAGAAACCAAGAGCACGACGGCCAGGGGTCCGATTGTCGTGTACTTGTTCGTGGGCGACAGTCCGGGGATCTGCTGCAGCGCGGCCGTGAAGAGGAAGAAGATGTTGGCGACCTTGGAGAACTGCTCGAAGAGGAACTTGGGGAGGAACGTGGCGACGTTGTACTTGGCCGTCGAGATGTGGTTGCCAACGTACTTGTTGGCGGCATTGGCGGGCGGGTTGTTGAGGTGGATGATTCTCGGGCCCAGGGTCGCGGGATCTGGCTTGCCGCGGCCAAAGCCAAACTTGAAGTTGCCCGACTTCTTGCCCGGGGGCTGCTGGTCCGGCTGCTGCGAGGCCGCCATCGGGCCGCCTCGATCGTGGCCCGGCTCCGTCAACGGGAGATCCATCTCGGAGTAGCCCTGGCCCATGCCGAGCCGGTGCTTCAGCTTGCCAAAGAGGCCGCCTCCCAGCGACAGCACGCTGTTCCGGGCTCTCGCATTGTCCCTGCCAGCCGACGCCGGCCCCGCGCCCGACGCGCCGCCGTGCTGGTAGTACATTTCGTCGTCGTCGAAGTCGTCGGCGTAGCGCGGGAAGTTGTCGAGGTCCGAGGACTGGCTGAACTGGTTCGTGTGGTACGGGCCCGGCTGCCCCGACGGCTGCGCTGGCTGCGCCGCGCCCGGGCGCCCTGCTGGGGGATATGACGACGGCTCGGCGCCGACGAAGTCGTCGTACGACACCGACGGGCGGCTCTGCGGGTCGTGATCGTGCTCGTAGGCTCGCGCCAGGTCGTCGTCGTTCAAGGCCGACCGCTGGCCGGCGCTGTAGACGGGCTGCTCATTGTCCAGGTCGAGCAGCAGGTCGTCGGTGGTGTTCGAGGGCCCGCCATGGCCTCCTATGGGGTGTCGTCCAGCCATGCCGGAGGACGAGCAGTGGTTAGGCGGTCGCTGAGGCGGAGGGGCAACGCATGCGGGCTTCGATGACGGTGGGCCAGCCCGAGAAGGTTGTGTGTGGTGTTTGGATCGTTCGCGGCGGTTTCGCTGCGGCTGTGGGCGAGCTGGAATGTGAGACTGCAGCCGCTCGCGGGTGGACGTGGAAGCGAATGGGGATGTATGTATGTCTAGGAGTTGGATTCGCAAGCAGCTCGAGTCGAGATTGGATCGGGGTTGACACCTGGTCTGGTCCCGCGATATCGATAGGGCAAGCAAGGCCTTCTGTAGAGTCTGGATGCTGTTCCGCTAAAAAAGCACCAGCAAGCGTTCGAGTGTTCAAATGTTCCCTGCACAGCCTCGTTTCGGCGAGCTCCCGCTAATTCGCTCCCTGTACTCCGTACTCCGTAGCGGGACAAACTGTCGAGGCTCGGGCGCTGCTGGTACGTCAGCACGTCGGCGGTGATTGGCCTCGACGCCCGAAAGCAGAGGCGCAGTTGGACAATCAGTGCTGATTCAAGCTCAGTAGTAGCAGGTTCGCTGCGACCAAGGAGCTGATACCCCGAGAGAGCTCAGGGTATTCGTCAGTACTTGGTCCCCAGCAGGTAATAATAGAACCGAGAGCACGTTCCAACGCCTAACACCTGTAAGCTCAACTCCCGGCACTCACTCGCTGGGATTGGACTGGACTTCCAGGTCGCTCTGATATTACGACCCCGACTTGATCCTCTCTCTTGCGCCAAGTGGCCTGAAAGGGTCTGAAAGGGGGCCGTCTGGGTGTCGTTCAACGGCTCTGCAACTCATCGCTTGGGGGAGGCCACAGCGCTGATCCACTGCTGAGAGCCCTGTCCTTTTTCCGCGGGCCCACGTTCCAGCTCGGGTTCCCCCTGAGCGATGTCCCCTTTGCGACAAGTCACCTCCCCACCGCAGTTGTATAGGCGAGGTACCTTGCTGAATGCCAGAGCCAAAATGGGGATACTCTGCAGCCGTCGTTGGAATTCAGACAGTACGGCGGCGCGAAGCTGTACGGAGTACCGGGCTACCTATTGCCCGTTTGATGTCAGCCTTGCCACTGCGATTTCGACATCAAACATCAAACGTCAAGCATAACGGTCATCAAGTTGAAACACGACCAAACAGTGTCAACCCGATTCAAGTGATTACGCTTATCATTCTCATCGTTTCCTTACTTCGAATTCAACCAGATACAGACGACATCTGAGACGCCCGCCATGGTCTGCGGCAAGTGTCTGAAGCTCACCAAGAGCACAAAGCTCGCGACTCCGGAGGTCAAGAAGAAGAGCGAAATGTACTACGGCTCGCCGGCCAGCGCAAAGGCAGGCAGCAGCTCCAAGTCCGCCACTCTGGGCAACACCGGAGTGTCAAAGGTAAGATGAAGATGCTTCCATCCATTCCTCGAGACGCCTTTGCTAACGGGGCCCTCAAGAGTAAGCTGCTGTCGAAAGCAGCAAAGAACCCATACGCACAGTACTCAAGGTATGTTGCACCATCCTACAACGCACCCGCATCCTGATCCATTGCGCCTTGACTGATGGTGGGAAAAGTTCGTGTTCAAAATGCAAAACCAAAATCACACAAGGCCATTCGTATTGCCAAAAGTGTGCCTACCAGACTGACTGTAAGTCTATCTGCTGTTGTGCCTCTCACATGAGAACTCACGCTCACGTCGTCAAACAGCATGTCCCATGTGTGGAAAGCCAAACAAAAAGTCCACTTCCAAGGCCCCAACCGTCGATGCTTACAAAAATACCTTGAAGTAAAAGCTATTCGCAAGGGAGGAGTCATGACAGTCACCTGAACGCATCGAAGCAGAAGGGGCGCAGAGCGGTGAGCGGAATCTCACCAAAGCGGCTTGTGTGCGAGCGTGCGCGCGTGCGCGTCGTCACGAAGTGTTTGTCTAGCACCAGCACCGTCTAATGAACTATGGCACATGGACCCCCAACGCCTTGGGGGCAGTTGGAGGTGAAGTCACGGAGAGGGACATATTCAATACCTGTCAAACCTCAAGGCGGACATGGACGGCATAGCTAGATTCCACGGGAATCTCATTCACGAGAGTCAACACTAGGTATACGGCGATATATCAGAATTTACAAAAGGGGATCATACCACTTAGCTGCTACTGGGTATCTAGCAAATGCCAGAACCGAGCAAATCAATCAATTATAGCTCGTCAATGCCATCAAGTCTTACAACGCAGCCTTGATCGCCCCATTGAGCGCCTTGTTCAACCACTCCCCGATAAGCCGGTTCACCTCATCCCCAGCCTGCGTCAACGCCCAATGCGTAGCATCAACCTCGGCCCTCGTGAGATCCTTGAAGAAAGCGTCCATGCCCTTGGACATGGCCGGCGGCAAAGCGTTGTCCTTGCTCGCCGCGATAAACAGCGCCGGCATCTCGAACCTCAGCGGCGGCCCGTCCTTGGCCCGGGGAATCTCGTCCTTGGCATTGAGCTCCCTCGTGCGGTACCAGTTGAGCGGGCCGCGCAGCTCGGGCGCCTCCTGCAGCGCATACTGCTCGACGTAGTGCTCCAGCTCGTCCTCGTCGAGGAGCGGCGGCGCGCCGAGCTTGTCGAGGACGTCAAAGCGCAGGCCCTCGCCCGTGCTGAAGCCCGCCTCGCCGCCCGGCCCCCGGCCGCCAAACATGGCCCGGAAGAAGCGCCGCAGCATGTCCTTGCCCTGGACCCTGGCCTCGACGTCGGGCCCCTTGAGCTGCAGCTGGTACTTGAAGTTGAGCATGTGGCCCGCGGCGACAATGTCCTCGAGCGGCGTGTACTCGGCGCTCAGCGGGTGCAGGGGCGTGCAGACGGAGAAGACGGCCTTGACGAGCTCCGGGTGGTAGTAGGCCGCGCGCCAGACGACGGCGCCGCCCCAGTCGTGGCCGCCGAGCACGATCTGGCCGTCGTCGCCCACGAAGGCGCGGGCCAGCTCGGCGAGGTCGGCGGCGACGCTCTTGAGCGCGAACTGCGCCAGGTCGCGCGGCGCGTCGGTGCCCGCGTAGCCGAGCATGTTGGGCGCCACGACCTGGAAGCCCAGCGACATGAGGTAGGGGATCTGGTGGCGCCAGCCAAAGGCCATGTCGGGCCAGCCGTGGACCAGGACGACCGTCTCGACCTTGGGGCCCTGGGGCTCGCCGAGGATGTACGAGTATGTCTTGCCGCGGATCTGCTTGGTTTCGTACTTGACCCGGGGGTCGTTTGGCTTGAGTTTGCTGGTGTCCATCTTGTTGACGATGGTGTGGAACGGCTAGCTGTGCTGCTAGAGTATTGTTAATTAGAGATCTATTTGTATAACATGATTTCTACTCTGTGTAATTGCATTACATCCTGTATGCGGAGAGAGGGAGAGAAACTTACATTTTGGTCCAAGTAACAGTGAGGGGCTCCGTACAACAAAACGAAGCCTCTTGAAGTCCGGTTCAAGCCTTCTTCTTACAACTCAAACCAGATGAGAACCAGCACTGTGCGATACAACCAAAGACTCAATGCCGCAATTACACGACGACACAGACAACAGTTAATGCACACCGACAGTCGTGATATATATGGAGTTTCCAGTGACATCCAGAACTTCGCATCTGGCCAGAAGGCCGGGCAAACCCCCCACTCCGTGCCTCGGCCGGCGGGCTCACCGAACAAGTGCGAGCGGACCTTTCACCGTACGTGGTAGGTAAAGAAAGAGCAGGGGGGACAAGTGCCGAGGTTGCTCTTTTGTTACCAACCTGCGCCTTTCAGAATACTAAGGCACTCGTAGGTGGTTTATGTGCATACGAAATAGTCAGTATATTCCGACTGCAGACGCTGTAACATCTATTGGCTTCGTATAGACCTGGCCGTGAGCGGGCTTAGACGCTCATCGTAGCAAAATGCCGGCAATGCTTGGTGCCGTCGATTAACGAGATCTGCCGGAGCTAGGGGAGATAGAATGCGTCTCCGAATGCGCGGGATACTCGTACATGTAATAGCCCCAACTGCATTTGTTGCTCCGTTTGACGTATGCCTTCTGTTTTTGTGTCCACGCATCTCATCTGAACTCATGACTGCTAGTCATCGTTGACAAAGACTGCTTCAGCCATGGTCGTGATATGGCAATAATGCCGAGGCTCCCAACTATACTCGTAGCAGCGCCCATCTCTCAAGTTCTCTAAGTTTGTAGAACGTGTCTGCAGCCTCCAGATAGCAACCTGCAGCTACACTACGTGTAGCTGAAAAGAACCTGGACAAACCTGTAATTGATAATAATCACATCGAAAATGAAGATGAAGGAAAAGGTATCACAAGGGGCCTCCAGCAGCGCAAGGGAGACCGGGGGAATCATCGATCGGGTAAGTCAGTAAATCACCATATCCTCCTCTGCCTCCTCCAGGTCGTCACCAAACTCGTCATGGTGTCCCTTGTGCCCGTCTGAGGACGCTCTTCGCTCCTGTACCTGTGGCTTATCGGCGCTGCTGTGGCGAGGGCTTTGGGGGGGACTCTCGCCCTCGGGCGCTCTCGCGGCAGCCGGTTCATCAGGGGTCACGCTTCTTTGCCTCGTTGGGGGACCATACCGCTCAATATGCCGCTGCTTTCGGGCCTTGAACTGCTCCACCTCCTTGTCGTTGGCGATTCTCGCCTTTTCGATTTGGTCGTCGATGATGTCCTTCTGGGCGGAGGTTGTTCTCCACGGAAGATAGAACTGTACATGGCCAGCGTTAGCGTGCATCATTCAATTGAAAGATAGCCGGAGAGTCGGGGGGAATGCATACAATTGCAGGTTCCGCTTTGGTCCGCAAGAACCTTGCCATGGCCAGTCGCTTTTCGTGCTTCTTCTTCATCTAAGAACACCCCCCAAAATTAGCATCCTTGACCCTCGCCAGAGACAGAGAGCATGATCATCTCGCCATACCACTTCTTCTTCAAACACAATCTGATCCGCCATGCGCGCGGCGCGCAGCTTCTCCAGCCTCTCGCTTCTGCGCTGGTCGTCTTCAGCCATCTGCTTCTGCATGCGGTCCTGCTGCCGGCGCTCAATCTCCTGCCGGCGCTTCTGCTGCTGAGACGTGTTAGAAGTCTGGCTCAGGGTACTCATAAGGCCGCCAAACAGTCGCTTGCCCCGCCGCTTCTCCTCCTGCATAACCTGCTTGCGCCGGTCCTCTACCGCGACGGTTGACGATGCGCCCTCCTTGCCATTGTCGTCGTCGCGGCGGTCGTGGCTGGGCGATGATGGCTGTCGCTGCAAAGGCGCGGCATCATCGCCTCGCTCTGTATCGTCACCTGGCTGCTCTTTGCTGTCGCTCTCGTCGATGTGCTTCACGCGCTTGGGAGATTCTTCCTCGGGGGGTTCGTCTTCGGCTTTTCGCTTGAGAGATGATGTGTCTGGAGCTTTTTCCGGAGTCGGTTGTCTTTCTTCGATCGGCTTCGGCTCAGCCCTGGAAAAAAAAGAAAAGGGCAAGCCTCGCCTGTCAATCTCCCAGTCTGCGATCGATAGATGGCAAGCTAAGAACTTACGTCTCCGTCTCCGGCTCCGTCTCCCCCATCGTAGCCATCTGTCGTCGCCCAAAAGCAGGTTACCTCATCAAAATCGCGTTGTTACCGCCCAAGCACCATGAGCAGTTCTTGACCAAAAGCCGATGCGGAGCAAATGATAACGGCGGAAGCTCTGTGTTTTCTTGTTCAAATAGAATGTCCCAAGGCTGAGAGTGACGAAGGAAAAAAAGAAAGCTCGATGCATTCATTGCCTCAATTGGCGTTTCCCTCCCCCCACCATCGGACAGCTGCCTTGGCGCGTTTGATTGGCTAATCAGCTGCCGCCTTTTCTCTACTTTTCGCCTCCAGCTCTGCCTTTCTTTTCGCCCTTCTTAACGTCACTGCAAGGCTGATGAGAAATCCACACGCTTGCAGCTGGTAGTTCTTTGGAATCTGTAGCGCTATTCGCAGCTCTTCTTTCGCCTTCTTCCTCTCAACCTACCTATTCCGATATCAATCTACAACTTCCATCTTTTCCACCTCAACACCAACAACACCACCACCACCGGCAACAGCATCTCACCACAAACCTCTTCTTTTCCTCACCTGTTCCACCATGTCTCGTCATCATCCGTAAGTTCCCCCCCTTCTCACCAAATCGACCAAGAGACAAACCAAAAACTAACCTTCCACTTTCCCAGCGACCTCGTCATGTGCCGCAAGCAATCCGGCATCGCCATCGGCCGCCTCTGCGACAAGTGCGACGGCAAATGCCCCGTCTGCGACTCCTACGTCCGCCCCACGACGCTCGTGCGCATCTGCGACGAGTGCAGCTTCGGCAACTACCAGAACAAGTGCGTCGTCTGCGGCGGCGAGGGTATCTCCGACGCCTTTTACTGCTACGAGTGCACGCGCCTCGAGAAGGATCGCGACGGGTGTCCCAAGATTATCAATCTGGGCAGTTCAAGGACAGACGTACGTTTTTTTTTGTTTTTTTTTTCCCCTCTCCCCCTTTACTCCTCTCTTTTACGCGATGTCTTTCGCGTTAACTGGAGCAAGATTCAATTGTGTGTTTTGGATGCTAACTTGTCTATGATTTGCAGTTATTTTACCAAAAGAAAACGAATCGGCAAGCAAATTATTAACACAGCGGTGGCCCGGGACTGGGCGGCACGGAGGGCCGAGGCGGAGCACACAAGATCTGTTTCACTATATGTTTGGAGAATGTGGCGCGTGTGTATATCTGGGTTGGAGTTTCTGGCGTTACGAACACTAGGGGCATATTGGCAGCTTGTCTAGGGCATTTGAATTTGGCTCGGGAGACGACGTATCACATGTGTCGAACGAGGTTTTGTTAGACTATGCAGCAGCAGACATTCCGAAACGATTCTTAATTTTATTCAGCAGCAGACATTTCGAAACAATTCTTAATTTTATTGAGCTACTCAAAAAGAAAGGCGTGTTCATCATAATATTATATCGTGTCCGCGAGGACGTGGGACGCGCAGTACAGCCAAATACCAGCTTGGTAGTATCCAAGAATAAAACTCCGTCTCCATGCAGAAAGAGAAAGCAAAGTCGTACAAAGGAGATGATTATAAAAGTAATGGTGTACAATTCCCTTCCCGGCGCCCACGTCTAGATGTAACTGACCTTGGTGCCCATCCCTACCGTTGCTGCCACTTTTGCCCAGGCCTTTCCCACAATCTGCTCCAGCCGCTGTCTCGTGGCCTTGTGGCCCAGCATGATGAGCAAGCCCATGGTGAAGACCAGCAGCCTCGTAATCACCGCCGGGTTGCCCTTGACAGAGCTGGCGAGGCTCTCAAACAGGTGGCGGAACCGCGACAGGATCATGGTGGCCCGAGCCGTAATGGTCGTGGACCCAGAGGCAGTCGTGCCCTTGGCTCGCGATTTGCCCGTTGGGCGTGGAGGGCGCGCAACGCTGTTCTGGGGTGACCCGGGCGGCTGTGCTCTCCCTACTCCGCTAAAGCTGGGCGTCTGTTCGATGCCGTAGTCGCCCTCGCTGGTCTCCCGAAGCTGCCGCTCCTCGTCGAGTCGTTTCCGTTCCTTCTCTTCATTCTCGGCCTTGAGCCGCTTTGCCTCGGCAATGTCCTTTTGCAGCTGCTCCTCCTGTCGTTTGCGCTCTTCCCGCTCTTGTCTCTCGTGTTCCTCTTGCTCCTCCTGCAGGCTTTGCAGAGCTTGCAGGAACGCCTCTTTGCGCTCCTCATCGAGCACGGCGCTCACGCTGATGAACTCACGAGCATAGTCCCACTCGTTGTTTTGGGGGAGGACGTGAAGAGTGTATAGCTCCAGGAGCTTGACTCGCGAGTTGAGATCTCCCGGGGTATTCGCGCCATTGGCCCTTCTGGCGGGAGATTGGTAGCGACGCGACGGCGCCGTGAAGTCGTTCAGGTCAAGGTTGGGAATGTTTGACGAGGCGAGGAAGTTTTCCAGCATCTTCTGGTTCAGACTCTGGTCGCGGGCATGCGCAAGCAGCAGCGTCGCCCTATATCATCGCCATTGGGGTTAGTGACTATACTTTTAAAGTCGTGCATGCATTTAGCGCAACAAGAGCGGTATGAATTGAGACTCACAGATTGATCACCACATCGGCATCAACGTCTCCTTCGACGCCGTGGTAACCATTCTTGACCACCTCCTCCCAGATGGATCCATCCCGCACCTTGGTGCACAGCGCCCTCCACTCCTGATTGCCAAACGCCTCTTTACCCTCTTCAGGCTCCAGCTCGACAATTGCATTCAGAAGCGTCAAGTACAGGCTCCAGACCTTGATCCTGGTCCCGCGCGACGACTTGGCCACGGGGACCGGCTCGCCGTCGTCCGCCGAGCTGGGCGGCGTGATGATCGGACGCAGCGTGCTGAGCGCCTCGGGCAGGCGACGCGTCAGGAACAGGGTGGAGGCTTGTCGGTATGTCTTGGACACGGGCGAGATGCGCTTCGATCCGGACGACGACAGGGAGGAGATGGACGAGGCGAGGAGGCCGCTGCCGAAGGACTCGCTGCTCGACATTGCCGGGTTGAACGAGGCGGTATAAGAGCCGCCGTACGCCATGGCGAGGAGGGCACTTCCGAGTGAACGCGACGGACCGGGGGGGAAGAGAGGCGATGGCGTCAGTCGGAGGTTGGCTGGGTGCCCAGATGCGCCTGGTTGGTGAACAAGAGAGAGCAAAGCAGGCGCCAATCAAGGGCTACTCTATCCCTATGCCATGCGCGTCGCTGGAGATGCAAGACTTTGAGCCCGGATCAATGAAGAAAAGGGATGACGAGGGAAAGGAGACGAAGCAAGCAAAGGAGGAGGCGCGATGTCAGATATAACTTGCTACAAGTAAAAGGAAACAGGAGGCCTTTGAAAGGTCTAGTACAAGTAGGTAGTACTAAGGTAAAGTCAGGCGAAGTAGGTAAGTAGAGCGATGGTTCAGCTGCTCGGTTGTCAATGTTTTTGTCCAGAGTTGACGCAGCGCCGCGACCAGAAATACGACGAGCTGCAAGCACTTGTGGTTGACTGTGGCTGGCGGTGGGCAGACCAGCTTTTTCCCTCCAAATGCGGTGCCATTGCTGTGCTGTTTAGCCTCGGCACCTCCAGAGCGGCCTGCGCGGGTTCCACACAGCTGAGCAAGAGGTCAACCGAGGCCGGCTGGCGATGGCGGCTGCTACCCGCTACTTGGCCTCTCGTGTAAACCTCTACTGGCTGCCGGGTACCGCGCTAACCTCCGCTATCCGATCTACATGCGGTGCCAGCATCTGATGGCCTGCTGCCGGCAGGGATCAACCCTTGGGCGCCAAGTTCCGGAGATGAAGAGCCCTTTCGAGAAGCCCGCCATTGCGCTGCTGTGGCTGCCGCTCATTTCACGAGGAGGCCCTGCGCCTTCATTTCATGGGGCCGCTCTTCTCGGGTGAGTGCAGGCGTCGTGTGAACGTGACCGAGTGCGGCGTTGAATGCAATGCCACGGCTGCCATGGGCCAGAGCTGGTGACCCGGAAGCATGTGAATCATCCCACCGCGCAAATGTCTCTGGCGTCTCCTCCGTAACAGCAGTCGTGAATGTGCTCGTCCTGTCAACGCGGATTCGAATTCATTGCATCGTCGTTAGATTCGTAGTCTCATGAGCCATCTCCATACCCAGAAAAGACGCAAGAAAAGCCGCCAAACCACCTCTAATGTACATTTATATCAACGTCTCACGGTTCCTCCGACAAAGCAACTCTGGCATCTGCAAAAGGCCGGCTGTCTATGTCTCAAGATCCAGACCCACGCCGCCTTCGCGACCTTCGCGGCGAAGCCTCAACATCGGCCTGTGCAACAATGATGCTGTCCTCGCGGTGGTGGTCGATGATGGAAGCCGATGCCCCCAAAAGCTCTTCTTGTCCTATCCAACCAGCCTCCAACGCAAAACACGCCACATCGGCCGCGCATCCAAAAGAGGGCACATCTTTGGGAGCGTCTGGGTTCAGATACTTCCACAGCTCTGCCGTCTCCTTTGTAAACTTGGCAAGCTCTCTCTTGCCGCCTTGAAAGTTGTCGACCAAGTACTCGTAGGTGTACGCCAGCCAAAGCACATTCGTGTACGGCGCATACACGTCCCAAGAAAGCGGCCCGTCGATGCCCTTGGCATAGGGAACGTGGTGGGCTTCGGGGGGGAGCCAGTCCCGCTCCGCTCGAAGCAAGAAGGATCGCATCTGCCGGTATACCTTGCACTGAGGATTGTAAGTGCTGGTGAAGAGGCTGAGGTCTCTCTCTAGGTCGTATACAATGGGCGCGGCATCGTCGTTTGACAAGTCTTCGGCTCGCGAGAGGCCGTAGTCCAAGATTGTAATTTCCAAGCCAGAGTATCCAAAGAAGCCCTCTGCTGTAGGAGGCCTCTTCCTGGGAGGACGTGCTTGCTTGATACAAAGATTGCCCTCGTGCAGGTCCCGATGCTGTGATGGGTTAACTCATTGCCATTGACGGGAATTAGGTGATCAAAAGATAGAGAGAGGAAAACATAATACTCACCTCAAACATGGCAACTTCTTCAGCCCTTGCCAATGCTATCGCCTCCAATAGAAAAATGTCCCATAACTGGTCCGCGCTGTCCAACTCCCAGTTTTCCAGTGACTTTCCCGCATCTCCGAGTTCCACCACCAAAAACTTGGTATCGTCCAAATACCGGCTCGGCGACGGATAATATTGCGCCCTGCCGGGGTCTTCCCTCTTCATCTTCTTCTGCACTGCCTGATGCGTCTCGAGAAGCTCTCTCGTGGTCTTGCCCTGGACAATGTAGCGTTCTTTGTACACGGCGAACCCCGGAATATCAGACAGCCACTCGGAGATTTGCAGCTCGTTGTTGACGTCGCTCTCTGAATGTGGCTCCTCGTCAACAAGACCCGAGGCCACTTGCGTCTTGGTCAGGGCTTTGATGGGCGAAGGTAGTCGAATGGCCTTGATGATGCTCGTGCCTCGCTTGTTGGTGACGCGGTATACCTCTGCGGAGGAGGCCTCGGCAATCTTGACAATCTGGTCTCCTGGCGGACAGACGTCGTTCCACGTGAGGACGCGCAAAGAGGACGCATCCGCTGTTGGAGATGTGCGCTTTTCCGGGTTGAGGCTTGACCTGGTCGTTCTCGTTGTCGGTTTTGCTTTCTTTTGTTCGAGTTCATCTCTTCTTTGTATCTTTACTTTGTCTTTTAATATAGGAATCTGCTTTGCTGGGACCTCTTCTGGGATAGGCGTCGTCTTTCGGCTGAGGGGCGAATCCACCTTGAGCTCAGTGAAATCAAGGACCTCGGCCTCGTCCACCACAATGGATGCATCTTTCTTAGGAGCCCAATGGAGCTTGGACGTCTGCTTAGGGGACTCGTGAAGGTGTATCTCAGATATCCTTCTCGTCAAGGGAGTGACTGGATCTTCGACTGGCTTAACATCTGGCTTGGTTCGCGGCACCCGGACCGGAGTCTGAACCAGCTCCTCAAACATCCTTTCCGCCGTGGACTTCTTGGACTGCTTTCCATATTGCCGGGTAGCTGTTGTGCGTCGCATCTTTGACCAGGGCTCTTGTGCTGTTGGCGTCTATGCCTGGAGTTCTGCCGGGCGAATTTGAAGTGATTGTTGAATTTGATGCTCACGTTTGGGCACCTATTGAAGATGTCGATGCCATTGTTGGCCAGGCAACAGCGTCTGTTGGCGGTGTTAGTCAGCCGGAATGGTCCGCCGGAGTGCAACGTCATATGCGTCCGTTTACACGAGACAGCGCTGCAGCTCAGTTCAGATGGATGCTGCTATCAGAATGTGATTGACGTTTGAAAAATTGATGCGATTCAAGATGGTGATGGCTGGCATATACACGCAATCAAGCCTGTAGCTCAATTGGCGCTGCGAAGAGTTGGCGATGCCCGTAATCACACTGTACCACCTAGTGGTACAATCTGTAGTCTGCATGTGTTGGGGAAGCTAAGCTCTGGTAAGCTGCAGGGCTCGAAGAGACTTGTAATGAGATTCACAAAACGCAGAACGTCAATTTCTATGTAGGAAATGCAAATCAAGAGTAATTGATTGAAGTCACAGATCCCCCAGTAAGAAGTCTTTATTTATTCTCTCCTTCGTTGTAAAAAAGACCAATATCACACACACAAGTTCCCCAGACTAGCGGGAGGAAGCGCAGAGAAGCTGGACCCCCACTCCTCAGCCTTGGGGAACCTCCGCAAAAGATTCCACGTTGGCTCAATTGGCCTCTCTCTCTCTTCTTCTTCTTCTTCCTCGTCCTCTCCCCCTCCAACCTCAAGCCATTGATCCCGCCAACTCGCCATGGCCGACGTCCTCAAGAACATGTTTGGAGGCGCAAAGCCGGAGCAGCCTGCTGCAGCCAAGCCCGACTCTGGTCAGTTGTCCTCTTCTCCCTCTTGCTCACGCATTCTACTATAACACGCCCATCCGATGGCTCTGTCGCGGGTTGTGCTGCAACTCGCCCTTGATGATCGCGACGGCCTCGAAGAGAAAAGAAAGCTGACCTTGCTGCTTTCCCAGACTTTGCCGACTTTGCCGGCGCTCCTGATGCCGTCCCCGAGGCCGCTCCCCAGGCCGCGACGACGCTGGCCGGATCCGCCGCGCAGCCCACGGGCGACGTGGTCTGGACCAAGTGGTACAACATCCACGAGCGCCACTCGCTGTCCGAGTTCAAGCCCGAGGGGATCATCCTCGTCCTCGCCTCCATCATCTTCCTGCTGCACATCTACGGCACGCGCGCGAACCGCTCCAAGGCCAGGGCCTGGATCCAGGCTCACGCCCCCGTCATGAAGCGCGAGTTCGCGTCCGTCGGCTTCCGGGGCGTGCCCACGCTCGACGCCGACTTTGACCCCAAGTCCTTCATCAAGGAGAAGTCGCTCTTCGAGTTCGCCTCGTACGCCACCGGTCGCCAGAACGTTGCCTTTATGGACGTCAAGATCACCCTCGCCAAGCGGTTCAACCCTTTCCTGCACTACATCGAGCACGGCCTGTCTCTGGTCACCGACACCTTCCCCGCTCCGGAGGAGGCCGTCGAGGCAACCATCTACCCGTTTGACGGCAAGGAGGAGCTCACTCTCCCCCCTGCCCCCGGCGGCGTTGATGCGCGCCCCAAGGACAGCAAGAGCACGTACGACGGCTTTGTCTGGGCCATTGTCAACAAGTCCAGCATGCAGAAGCTGCGCGACGAACGCTACGACGTCTCCCTGACCGCTACCAAGGACAACTCCAAGCTGCCCCAGTGGCTGACCATTATGAGCGAGAGCGCCGAGATTACCGATACCTTCCTGACTCCCGAGCTGATTGAGGCCGTCACAAAGGCCGGCGAGCTGTTTGAGTACATCATCATCTCTGACCAGCCCGTTGACAAGCCCACTCGCCTGGAAGAGACGACTCCTCGCAAGCGCGTCTTCCTCAAGTACCGCCTCCCGTCCAACGACAACTACGACCAGTTCCTGCCCCTGTTTGAGCACTTCCTCCGCATCCCCGACGCCCTCGTCAGGGACGCCCACTTCCGGCCCGAGGTCCTCAAGAGAGTCCGCGCCACGCGCGAGGCCATGATTGCGCAGATCAAGAAGGCGATTGAGGAGGAGAAGAACGAGGAGCGCCAGCTCGAGAAGGAAAAGGCCAAAAAGGCCAAGCGAGATGCCGAGCTCAAGGGCCTGGACGCCAAGGCGCAGAAGAAGTATCTCGAGAAGGAGAGGGAGAAGGAGCTGCGCAAGTCGCAAAAGCGGATGACGATGCGAGGATAAGGCTGCGGCAAATGTTGTGTACGATGGGATGATGGCACGGCACGGAGCGGCGTTTACTTGGGTGGCAAGGGAGAGGGAAAAGTGAATGAAACGGGGTGTAATATGTACAAATAGTCTGTGTACAATTTGATGCTGGGGATCTTCTCATGACTTGTTTCTTTTCTCCATGGGTTGAGGTTCGGGCGTGGGAGGGTTGAGTTGTATGATTCAAATCTCGAGGGCAAGGGAAAAGTACATAGTAATCTAATGATGCCATCCACCATGATCATTCATTTATTCTACGCCTCTCCAAGAAGAAACCGCCCAATCATTCCCCTGAGACTAATGTATCCAGTAATCATTTGCCCTCTTTGCTCAGCAGGTCCTCCACCCTTTTGACCTTGTCCTCTGCCGTCTGCTTCTTATCCGTCCTATTTCAAGCAAAAACATGTCAGACAAAAGAAGATGGAACTCGTCAACTCACCCAGAGAAACTCAACCAGAGAGAAAGTTGCCAAGAGAAAAGAAAGAAAGAAAGAGTTATCGGAAGAAGAAGAAGGAAGGAGGGGAAACTCACCTCGTTCCAACCCTCATGGACGACTGAACCCTCACAACGCCCCTCTCGTGGACCGCCGCATGAGCTTTTCCAATCACCGTCATGACATCAATCCAGCTGCCCTCTGCAACACACACAGACACACACACCAAAATGTATCAGCTTCATATATCATCTCCTCTCACTCAGTGTATATATATATATATATATAAACAACTCTGAGGGGCAAAGCGTGGCAAAAGATGATCTCGGTGCGGGAGATTGTGCTTACCGACTGTCGTGCCGGCAGAGTGCATCGTGTACTTGAGGCCGCTCGCCTTGAGCACGCGTTGGACTTGGGCGACTTCCTCTGCCACGGAGACGCTTCCCGTGCCGACCTAATCGAAAAAAAAACCCCGAAATCAAAAGCATTAGCAAAAAAAGATTAAATTTACACACAAAAACATACGGAAGCAGGAAACCGGAATGGTAAGGGGGGGACAAAGGGGGAATTTGAAAAACAGTACTGGAATCAGACAGAAATCGGCATAGCAGGACGCCGGCGTCGGAATCGAGTCGTAGTCCATGTTGTTGGCCTTGTTCTTCTTCTTTGTCCCGGTGGTGGTGGTGAATGTTTGGCGGGATATGGCGCGAGAAGAAGCGTAGATGTGCTGCCTCGGGGGGGAGAGGATGAGGCGGAGCATTCAATTGGGCTTTTTTGTGTGCAAGAGTTTGATGTTGTTGGAGAGGGGGTTGAGATGGAGGTTTGAAGTTGAGAATGTGTTGTTGAGATGATGGAGGGGTTGGATCATGGCATGGTTTTTAGCGGCTTTGTAAGAAGTGTGTGCGTTGTGCTCTGGACTCAGACTCGATGTATAGCATATCAGCATACATTATATCTATCAGGAACATGACATCCAGATATAGAACGTCGTAGAGCCGACATGTCAAATTGAGAAGTCTTATGGCAAGGTATCAGCAGAGGCGCTTTCCATTCATCATCTCGAGTCAGCGCTCATAGAATACAGTGTACTAATCAATTGACTGGCTACTAATTGCAGCCAAATGCCCCAATGCTCAGGATTTGTTATGCCAAAGTTGCAAGCTGTGCTCTCAAGTATAAGTACTAGGTAGGAATCTATAGCCCCAAGAAGACAAAAAAATGATTTGTTCCCTTTTTTGTTCTATATCGACGAAATGAAGCCCAGATATTTGCAATCTAAGTGTTGCCTTTTGAAGAGAAAAAAAACCCCAAGAAAAGAAAAGAAAACGCCTCGCTTAAATGAATGCCAAATGAATGTTCCCTTAAAAAAGAAGGGGTCGATATTCTCGATATTCATTGCCACTGAGCTTGTCTCTCTCGTGTTCAAGCCCCCCCTAAATCATCAACAGCGTCGCCGCCAAAAAGGCAATCAGCGCCCCCGTCCCAAACTCGCGCGTCTGGTTCGTCCCGTCCGCCGAGGAGTCGCTGTCGCTGCTGTCCGTGACGTTGGTGCGCCCCGTCGCCTGGCTGATGCCGTTGCTGTCGTCGGCGGCCTTGACCGTCGAGCCCTTGTCCCAGAAGTCGACGAGGACGAAGCTCGGGCGGTGGCTCCACTCGCCGTTGCACTGCTGGATGTGCTGGCCCAGCTCGCCCGTCGCGGACGTGTCGGCGCTGTTGACGAGGGTGATGTTGCCCGTGTCGGGGATGTTGATGCCCGCCGTGATCTCCGAGTCCTTGAAGTGGTTGACGAGCCCCATGAAGCCCTGGGCGAAGGCGTGGGAGGCCGAGGGCCCCGCGTCCGAGGGCCGGTCGACGGTGCAGTTGAAGCCGTCGAGCGAGAGGACGGTGAAGGGCGTCTCGAAGACGTAGTCGAACTCGGGCAGCAGGTACGGGCTCGCGGTCGAGGCCTTGATGTTGGTGACAAAGGACACGACGCGGGTGTTGTTGGCAATCATGGCGCGCAGGCTGGGCCACTCGGCGATGGCGGCGTCGTCGTCGTCGCTCGTTGACGGCGGGACGTAGCCGAACTTGCTCAGGCCGGACTGCTGGTACATCGACGTTGTCCGAGTTGACGAGCAGGAGGGTGACGACGTCCGAGGGGTGGCCGACGACCCAGTCGTTGATGAGGGCGAGCCAGCTCTCCAGCGGCCCGGCGTCGAGGAGGCCGCACGAGGTGTGGCACAGGCGCAACGTGCCGTTCTCGTTGTGGACCTGCGCCTGCAGCAGCCGCAGGCCGGCGTCGAGGGCGTCGGTGGCGTTGAAGAACTGGTTGCCGGCGATGGAGTTGCCGGTGCTGTCGTCGCGGAGAAAGGCGCTGTCGTGGGCGCCCATGTAGGTGATGTCGTTGTAGTGGCGGTCGCACAGCACGGGCGAGTTGTTGCAGACCTGCGACGAGTTGGACGACGACGACGACGAGGTCTGGGATGGCGATGCCGGCGATGATGATGATGAGACGGAGGTTGCGGCCGGCGAGGCTTGCTGGGGGATGGCCGAGACGCCGGCGATGCTGCCGACCAGGGCGCCGGCCAAGACGCCGGAGAGTGAGAAGCGCATTTTTGTTTCCTTTGGGTTTTGCCTTGATCGTCCTTGGATGAGATCGGGTTTGATGAGGCGTTGCCCCCTAGATTGTCTGTTCCCCCCTGTCAGCTATCAGATGCTAATGTATAAGGGAAGTGAGGATGAAGTCGCTTAGATCGATCCATGTACGTACGCTTTTCGGAGAAAGAACTTGGCGATGTATGGGGGTAAGAGAATGAATAAAGGGGCTGGATGATGGGGAGTTATGAATGGTATATAAGTATCTCTTTCAGGTTATGAAAGTGAAGATGTACAAGAGGTCGATATCCAAGAGCGAGAGACACGAATGGGACGAGAAGACGAAAGGAGGAAATACAGATGGAAGAAGAGGTTAATCCATGAAACACTAGCAAAGCATTTATGAAGAAACGAAAGAAGAAGGGAAAAAATACAATCCCAATCCCCAGATACCTCAAGGACCAGAATAGTAAAAAAGAAGATCAGAAAGGAAAAAAAGAATAAGAGCCTGCAAGAGAGTGAGAGAAGATGGAAAAAGTTGCATGTATGAGAGAAAAAAAAACAAAACCCAGCGTCCGTCGTCTGATACCTACAATACTATGGAACCCTACCCACTACGTTAGGTACCTACCGAGGGAAACGAAAGGGCCCCCTATCGAGCCGACAAGCGAAAACAGCATTGACAATCTTTTGCTTTGCTCAGCGGATATATCCCTGCCCGTCTCTCTCTCTCTCTCTCGGGAGTTTTGGCAGCGTCGGGGGTTGGACATTGGGACTGCGCCTCGAGACGTCAGCAGTGGAGACGCGCTGAAACTGCAGATGAGATGGACCCCTAGGCTAAGAGGAAGCGGCATTTGCAGATCTGAGGCTCTGCTGTTGGGTGATACGATACAGTATCGATTCGCAAGTTGAACGATGCTGGGATTAATGGGGAGTATAAGTTCTGATAGAAGGCGAGCAGCGGTATCTTGGATACATCTGCAAGCCCCAAACACGTCGAAAACGTGCTCCAAAACACCACGCAATTGGCCCCTCCCAACACATCCATACACTGTACCCTGCAAACGACTCACTTGTTGCTGTACATGCTGTACAGAAATACGAAACATCAGTGTGACGAGACGAGGCTGTGTTAGTAGTTGAATCCAATCTTCCACCTAGACTACGGTAGTCTACATGTATTACTGCGCAGTAGCCGATTATCACATTGAAGGCAACAGCTGATAAGAGTACCTACATATGTATGTACTGTACAAACAGAGCCGTAGACGTGCTATTTATATCCCATCCATCCCACATGCAGGCAAACTGCGCCACTAGGTATGTAGTCTCCTCAAGGAACTTTCAACGACACTTCCACTTCCACCACTTCTAGGATCATCACCATGCTGCTTATATGCAGGTATGTTGATCAAAGATACATGTACTACATACAAACTGGGTATGAAATAAGCTTTTCGAGTTAGCATGTTCTATACGATGTCAAGCTCCTCCGCCAATCTCGTATTTGACAGAACGACACATACGTGATACCCCGATATGAAGATCCAAGCCTCTCTTCAAGATATGGGGAAAGCCATCTCACAGCTTATACGAATGACCAATCCTTTCTGTCTCAATTCCCCCATCGCACCTCTCAGCCACGTTCTGTATCCATATGTAACATATTAACATATCACCTCCGTACATTTTGTTCCTAACAAGGCAAGACATACGTAACCCTTCCTAAGCATCCATACGTCCATCTATGTATTACCCCCAACTATCCACGCACTTCATGCAAGCCACGTCAAGAAAGACAAACACCAGGCCATCATCACCAAGATAGACAAACTGCCTACAGGTACCTTACCCACACTCCCTTACCCAGTACCTTGGTACACAGTGCCTTCATCTCACCCGTTCGCCCCTCCAAAAAAAGGCCGCGCGGTCAGTGGAGTTTTTTTCGTTCGCCGTTGGCCGTGCCCTTATTCGCCCGCTCTTCTCAACCACCTGAACCATCCCATATCAAACCGCATAAGCCTCGAAACCCCCAGAATTCACCGGCACCGCAAGTGGGATGAGATTCATGGAGCCCCGTGACAATGTATCGCCACTTACAAGCAGCCGAAGGTGTCTCTGTGAAAAACGTCTGTATATAGGTACATTAAAGCGATGAAAGAGCTGGCTTTAGGATATTCCCCTCTGCCGAGCTCATATGTAGACCAATCTCCGTGTCAACGTGTAAAGTAAGGTATGTAGTCGTGGTATCTTCAAGCCATCCCGGCCTCTACATCGACAGCGACAAACCATCTTCTTCACTCGGCCATGTTAGGGATACCATCACCTGCACAACACAGCCACACACAATACCTTACGTGTTCAAAGGTGTTATCACAGGTTTCAGCTGTGCCTCTCACAAGAAGTAATCAATCGCGATCGAGGCTTTGCTGTTTCAATTTGATACGATGATTCCACAAGCTCCCCATCCTGCAGTTGGTATCATTACATCCCATCGCCATTCATTCCCGCCCCTTCCTTCGTTTTCTTCCAAGCACACAACAAGGCCATCCATCTGTCCAGCCCATCATCATTCAGGATCGCCAATCTCCTCCACCTCAGTCACCCTGGACTCTTCCCTCTCCGCAGCTGCCGCGGCCTCCATTTCCTTCAGCTGCTTCTGCCCCGCCTCCGTCGTCGCATCAATCAGCTCTTCTTCGAGACTGAGAATGTTGGCCTATGGTACAACGGACGTAAGCTTGGTATTCCCTCAAAGGAGGGCAGCTCTCGTCTGCAAAAGAGTTGCAAGTCATAAGGGGTGCTCGACTTACCTCGCCAAACTTGGCCACAAGCTCCTCCGCCTCCTCCACCTTCATCTTCCCCAGCACCTTGTTGACCTCGTCCAGACTTCCAGACTCAAGTGCATCCTTCATCTCGGGATCAAAGCTGTCGTAGATCTTCCGGGCTGCCATGACATCCGGGTCGTCGCTGTCGGCGGGGGGGATCGAGATTTGGATCGTGGTTCCGGGCTCCATGGCATGCAGTTGGATCTGCTCCACGCCCTCAGCCGGCTCCTTGGCCCGCTCGGCAATGATTTCGAGTGACCTGTTCTTGATCCTCATGTATGTGTCTTGCACATCCTTGTAAAAGACATCCTGTGCCTGGTGGCCCTTGGTGGTGATTCGCTTGAAGAAGAGCGCAACGCCATCCTTGCCCAAGGCGCGGCAGTACTGCAGCAGCAGCGCTTGGTGGACGCATTGGCGTGCCAAGTCATCCTTTCGCTCCAAGGCGGCATCAAACGCGAGCACGAGCAGCCCGTCCGTCTCTCGCTCCGTCAAGATCTCTGGGTTCTGGGCAAGGAACTTGAGACTGGCCGAGTAGTCGTTCATCGGAATCTTGGCAAACTCCTTGGCCTTTGGCGACGCCTCCACCTCGTCATCCTCGTCCACCGCCACCTTGTCTGATGATTTTGATGACGATGCTTCCGGTGCAGATGTGGAAAAGTTGGGGTTCAGCAGCTCCACCTTGGTCTCTTCCTCCTTCTTCTTCTTCTCCGATGGCCCGGACTTGTTAATGTACGAACTGTTGAATCCGTCGTGGATGCTGTCGCTCGTAATCTTCTTGCTGTCCTCCTTCTCAAGCTTCTCCAGCTCTTTTGCCTGCTCCTCCTGCAGCTCCTTGATCTTATCGATGTGCACCTGGAGCTCCTCCATCATCGCCTTATACCGATCATCGGGCTTCTTCTCGTCCAGCGTCTTGTTCACCTGGTCCAGCAGCTGCATCAGCATCTTCGAGTACGTGGGGAGCGGCTGGTCATCGTTGAAGACGCCCTCTGGTCGTGGCGGCGGCTGGTCATCTTGGGGGTTCCCGGCAGTAGAGATGACCGCCTTGAAGGCGATTTCGGCTTGGTTCCCAGTCTCGGCCTCGGAGGCGCCGGTCTTGAGCGAGTTCAAAAGGGCCTCTATGCGGCCCAGCAGGGTGCTGTTGATGATGCGCTCATACTTGAGTGCCGCGATGCGGTTCTTCCGCTGCTGGCGCTCGATATGGATCTGGTTCTGCTTGGCGCGGATGAAGGACCGCTTGTCGACGTTGGGGTGCACTTCGATGTCGGAGTCGTCGCTGACCTCGATCGCGTCCTAGTTGTTCCACCTCACGGTCAGTAAACCTGCATGCTTCAGATTCAGATTCAGGGGAGGGGGCACTGCATCGATCCATAGCTGGGATACGTACAAAGCGGCTGTAGTCGATCGGCATGGCGGGCAGCTTTAGGAGCTTCCGAGAGCTCAGCTATGGGTGGTCAGTAGAGCGGGTAGAACAAATGCGAATACGAAAGAGTTGTCGTCGGAGTGATTAGTAGTACTGCTATCGTCTTCTGTTGCAGATGGACAGAAATGCGAGCTTGGAGGCGAGAAGGAGAAGCTTCCAAGCTTGACATCACCAGGCCAATTGTACCACCACCGGTTCGAGGTGGGGCCACTCCTTGTCGATAGAAGTCCGCCGAAGCTTTGGCGGGGCTCAGCTCGACCTTCAGTTGAGAGATAAGCTTGATAAGGTGCTGTGCAACATATCGACATCAACGTCCAACTTGGAATCAGTCTTATACAATCAGCTGCATCTCGCACTTCTCTGTGCTTTATATCAGGGGCCTTCTTGACCTGAAGCCTCTTTATTTCCAGTTACTCATACAAGACACACGTCGCGCCGTCGCTCATTCCACTACCTGGTTCTACCTAGTAGGTGCTTACCTAAAAGGGCGTGACTGCTGCAGCCTTAGGATGTGGCTTCCGGTAGGATAAAGCCCTCCTTCCTGATTAGGTGGATAAATAGATAGTGATGTTATTACCCCTCTTCTAGGTAAGATGCATAGCTTTTTCTTACTTTTACATATACTCATATGCATAATACAATCACATTATGTTAATCTTTTTTCTCTGTTTTTACTGCTAATCCTTAACCTAAGCCTCTTTAATAACCAAGACAGAAGGCTCTATCGCTTTCTATGCTTATTAACGCTTTTAGCAAGAAGCTAGTCTCTAGCT